CAATTTAAAAAAAAAAAAAGAAAAGAAAAAGAGTTGAGGCTAGCCACGTCTACATAGTGTGACCCTGTCTGAGAAAACAAAAACATATTAAAAACTGATTAAAACGTACCATTCAGAAAATAAGGGAGAGCAAGTCACAGACTCATAGAAACATGCAGAACATACTACATACAGAACATAAACTGCAACTCAGTAGTAAAAAAAATAACCTGGCAAAAAGAGCAAAGCCAGATATCTCATAAGAGCAAATAGGTGAATGGCCAGTAAAGACATGAAGAAGTATCCAACATCATTAGTCATCTTAGTTAAACTGCTGCTCTCTGAAAGATTTTTGCATTTTTTTCTAGTTTTGTCATCTTTTTTCTAATTTTGACTTGAATTGCTTTTTTTTCAATAGGCCCATTTAAATTGTCCCTTTAAAAAAATGTTGCTACTTTTTCTTTTAGGGAAAATACCCTCCATATTTTAAGACAACGGCAGCTAGCTTCTTCCATAGGCAGTGCCCGTCCTCTTGTCACTGAATTGGTAAGTATTCTTGCAAATGAAGGTTGTTTTCAAAAGTAAGTGGTTTTTTCTTTTTAAGGGTGAGAATTTTTCTTCTTTTGGATTCTTATTGTAGTTTCCTAAAGTTTGTATATGTTAACATTTTACTCTAAAACAACTAAGTTGAATTTGAATGATGGAATGTATTTGAACTTATCCATAGCCTGTAAATTGTAAAAGAAAATATGGAAAGTGTACCTAATGTACCAACATGAAAAACAAATCAATCTTGGTCTTGTGGTAAGATTTGAGTCTTTAATTATAATGTAGTAACCTATGAAAGTTCTTTTTTTTTTAGAAAGCAGGGGCTAAAATACATCCTTGTAAGTTAGCTTGAGGTTAGAAGAGTTACTTTGGGATAGGAGTAATAAGAATAACAGTGGATTTGAAAAGGACAGGTGCCAAGCTTTCAGAAATAAAGGAATAGAGCTTTGTGATTGGTAGAAGCATATAAAATGTTTACAGTTAATGAGTGAGATAAATAAGTAGCAGTTGAAAAAGTTCATAAAATTTCATTTGATAACAAAAATGGGTTGTGATGAAAATTGTCTAGAAATTACTGAAAGATCTTGAAATAAATTACAGCTAAATTACTTTGTATCAAGTAATAGCTGAAAATTGCTTACTCTTCACAGCTGGAAAGTGGTAATTTCCTTTTTGCTAGAGAGAAACCATGTTCCAAAATTGAATGTGTCTGTAAAATCTTTGTGAAAGTGGCCAATTAACCTACTATGTGCTCCATTTTCTGACTCAATGATTATACTGCCTTACATTCAGTAACATTTGGAATAAGTCGTATTTAAATAATTTTTTGTTTGAATTTCATCATGTAGAACATGTATGCTATTCGCTTCTGAAGTGAGGACAGTATATTATACTAAATGTTTAAAAGCACATTAATGGGGGCTGGGGATTTAGCTCAGTGGTTTCGCTACTTGCTGCGCAAGCACAAGGACTCGAGTTTGATCCCCAGTACAAAAAAAAAAAAGCACATGGATGGGAGTAGGTAGGAATAGTCATTTTAGGGGATTTTTATTTACCATACACCTGCTTACTGTTTTTTAATTGGGCGTTGTTGTATTTTACATGGCATTAATACTAAAATTAGTACTTAATAGAGTCTCTTTCCATGTGTTCTCAGAAAGTCACTTTCTCATCACAGCATAGATCCCTTCAGTTTTTCCTGTTTGGCCACCATCTAGATGTAATTGTTTCAGGTTGTCCTGGCCATGTGGGTGTTGTGACAGTGAGTTGCCTGGTGTCAGCTTCATCGGGCTGCACTAGTGGTACCCACCTTGCCTGAGCTGGGCATGTGCTGTCGGCCAGAAGAACTGAGGCGGGTAGCAGATTATTAGGAAGATTTGTGGCACTTTTATTTCCTTTACTAACCAAATCGTAAAGGAGTTTATTTTGATAGATTTATCACCTCATGATAATGTTTAAAGTGTATGTAGGTGGGCTGGGGATTTAGCTCAGTGGTTCTGCCGCCTGCCTCACAAGCTCAAGGTCCCAAGTTTGATCCCCAGTACCCAAATAAACAAAATAATAAAGTGTATGTAGGTACAGGGCTGGGAGTATAGCTCAGGGATAAAGGGCTTGCCTGGTGTTTGCAGTGCCCTGGGTTTGATCTCCAGCGCTGCACTAATAGTTGATGGTGGGGCAGGGATTTAGCTCAGTGGTTCTGGCGCTGCCTTGCAAGTGCAAGGTCCCAAGTTCGATCCCTGGTACCAAAAAAAAAAATAGTTGATGGTTTTTTTCTGCAGGATCCTGATGCACCCATAAGACAGAAAATGCCCCTTGATGATCTGGATAGAGAAGATGAAGTTCGATTACTTAAATATCTCTTCACTCTAATCCGTGCTGGAATGACAGATGAGGTAAAGCACAAAATACTCTGCTTGTCCAGTTTCAAAAAGCCATAGACTCTTTAAGTTGAAAGAGATCTTTGTGGCTACTTAGTGTGCTTCTTCAGTGGAGTGATCGCATTGACAATATTTCTGGATCTGTCCTTAGCATTGAATTCCCAGTGAGGAGATACACACTGCTTTAGAAAGCAGTGCCCTCTACACAGCTCTAATTATTAGAGAACTATTTAACAGGTCAGGGCTGGGAATTTAGCTCAGTGATTCCACAATCTGCCTTGAAAGCACAAGGTCCCAAGTTCAATCCCTGGTACCGAAAAAAAAAAAAAAAGTCTATTATAACAGGTCAGACTTTGCATCTCTATTATATTGCATACCATAGGTATATCCTCATTATGTCTACTTCTGAGATTTTTTTTTTTTTTTTTAACTACTGGGAATGTGTCCCGGCCCGCGGGTAAGTCAACGGAGACCCTAGAGGGGGAGTGAGAATGACAAAGGACAGGGGACACAAGAGATGGAGACAAGACAGGTTTCTGATCAAGTCTCGTTTATTGCGGAAGCTGCTACAGCATATATACCGTACGGCTAGAGGGAGGGAGCAAGGGGAGGGTACTGGGGCTATTTCCTTGTTGCCGGGTAGACTTGCAGCAGGCTTAGACATGCCCGTAAAAGGCACTCAAGAGTACTAGCGGGGGGGGGGGGGCAAGGCCCCCCACAGGAATGGAACCCAGGGTCTTTGCGCTAAGATATATCCACAGCCTTTTAAAAAATTTTTATTTTTATTACTAAATCACTAAGTTCTAGGCTGGACTCAAACTTGTGATGCTCCTGGCTCAGCCTTCCAGCATGCTGCAATTATAGACATACTGCTATGTCTAGCTCCACTTCTCATTTTTAAGATTTTAAAATAAGCTATGTGTAGTGGCTCATGCCAGTAATTCAAGTACTTTGGGAGGGTGAGGCAGGAGGATCCCAAGTTCAGCTCCAGCCTGGGTAATTTTGCACCCTGTCTCAAAAATAAAAAATAAAAAGGGCTGGTAGTATGGTTCAGTGTGATGGTCCTGGGTTCAATCCTTAGTTCTGAAAAAAGAAGTTTAAAATAAGTCTAACCCCAGGAGACAGTCTTCAGGCACTTGAAAACTATGTTGGATCTCAGATTTCTTCTTCGTCAATTTGAACTTAAGAAACTATGTTCAGGGTACGAAATGAGCAATAGCACCCTTGTAGTTACAGAGTCTTAACATTGCTTTTATAATACTTTTACATAAATCAGGGACATCAGCCTCCTTAAACCTCCTTGTTTCTAGCAGAATTAAATGCTGGTGGGCCTTATGAGAACGCATGGGTAAGCCTAAAATCCAAGAGAAAAGGAATTGCTATAAAAATAAAAATGAAGGCAGAGACCACAGAAATGCATGCACCTGTTGGTAAAGTGGAATGCCATTATTAATTATCTACATACTCTAACATTTGTGCCACAGATTATCTAATCTTGTCATAAATAGGTTATGCTCTACTATAAGGTACAAGGACTTTTCAGTACTACACTGCCGATGTCACTCTTTCTTGTTCCTAAAGGCACAGCGACTCTGTAAACGTTGTGGTCAAGCATGGAGAGCTGCAACACTGGAAGGCTGGAAACTATACCATGACCCTAATATTAATGGAGGTATGTTAGATTTTATTCTGAGAGGTGGAATAAAAGCATTTAGCTCTAAGTGCCTGCCTTTGTGAATTGTACTTTTCCTTTTTAGACATGATTGAGAGAAAAATCTCATTTTAAAATATATATTTTATTATTTTATAGAAATAGGAGCAGAATTAGAACCTGTTGAAGGGAATCCGTATCGACGCATTTGGAAAATTAGTTGCTGGAGAATGGCAGAAGATGTAAGATAAATAACATATTCACTGATACTGATTTTTACTCCAGGTTAAGTGAAGGCCTATCTAGGGGCTGTGAAATGTTCAAAATAGCATGAAACAAAAGTTCTATTTTGAGAGAAGTTTAGTGACATTGAGAAATAGTTTTAACTATCAAAATTTGAGATTCACCAAATACTAAGAAACACTGATATATGGCAAAAATATAAAGGATGTACCAAGTAAGTGTAGAGAAAAGCCTTGGGTAGAACTTAGAGCTAGTGGAAACAGTTGAATAGAACTTTTTAAAATCAGTAGGATTTGGGTTGTTGGGAATGAGAACAAAGGAAGGATTCTAGGTAGGATACGTAAGTCTCAAGGAATGGTAGGTCTGCCAGGTTAGAGTAGATGACTTATTAAAGGAAATACTGTATAGTCAGTTCTGTGATGACACAGCATATGGATTGCTAAAAATCACTACAAGATGCAAGTTACCCCCCTCAAATCTACAGGGCTTATGGGAAGTTAAGAGAACCACCCCCCAAAATTTCATCAGTGAATCAGCCTTGGTGGTGTATGCCTGTAATCCCAGCTACTTTGAGGCTGAGGGAGGATTGCAAGTTCAAGGCCAGCCTGGGCAGCCTAGCAAGACCTTGTCTCAAAGTAAAGAATACAGAGGGCCAAGGGTATAGTTTAATGATCGAACCCCAGTAGGTTCAATGCTTAAGACTGCAAAAATAAAAGGAAAAAAATCTCCTTCATCAGTGATGCATAAAAAGATAAAAAGTCGGGCCAGGGATTTAGCTCAGTGGTTCCACCGCCTGCCTTGTGAGTGCAGGGATCCAAGTTCAATCTCCAGTACCAAAAAAAAAAAAAAAAATGATAAAAAGTCAATAAAAATGGTAGCACAATTTTATTTCTGTGAGACAGTTAAGAATCACATACACACTACAGTAAATTTGGTGCCTCGCCTTGAAAAAACCCTGAACTTTGCTTGTAGAATTGAGTGTCAAGGGTTGCAGAACCTTGAGGGCCCCTTGTAGCAGTGTTTTAGAGATTAGCAAGGCAATGGAAAATAGTGTTTTAAATTGTAAGGACTAAAGTTGATAAAGTAATTAGGAGCCTATCAAAGTTAGTCAGCCACTAAGTAATAAGGGCCCAGCCTAGGATAGTATTTTTTTTTTTTTCCGGTACCAGGGATTGAAGTCAGGTCCTTACGCCTGCGGGGCAGGCAGCGGAACCACTGAGCTAAATCCCCAGCCCTATCCTAGTGATGGGAATGGAAAGGAAGGGAACAAGACTGGTCAGGACTATGACTAGAAACAGAAGGCAGAGGTGGACTCAATTATTTAGGAAGAGTCTCTGAAGTCTGTCATTTGCATGACTAGAAACCTGGAAATGCTGTTTACAGAACCCCAAAAGTAAATGGGGTAATGTGGAGAGTATCATTCTACTTAGAATCAGGTGCAAGTGCATGTCTTGTTTTGATGTTCTCAGGTCAGCATCAGGGATTATCAGGTATTTAGAAACATTCTAGAAAAAAACACCATTTTGGTTCTATGGATTAAAATTTGGTTATACAGTATAATCAAAACATCAGTTAGAGTTGGCTCTGCTTTCACCCTATGGAAGAAATTTAAATAAAATTTCATCAAGTTAAAAGGCTCTTCCTTATTACTCTACTATATCTTTCTCTAAAGTTTAGAAACTCACGAAATAGGTTCAATCTAGAAGAAATGGCATAAATTAATGTACTAACAAAAATAGTATTTCAAATCTGTTTATATTCATTGTATTTTAGGAACGTTTTAATAAATATGAGAGAGCAATTTATGCAGCTTTAAGTGGGAATCTCAAGCAGGTATGTAATGTTAATATTTTTTCTATGAATTAATAGATGCATAAAATATTCTAATATATATAAAAATCTTATAAATTTAAGCTACTTTCTAAAAGTAGTAGTGATAGAGATAATTATGAAGCAGAATAATGATTTATGATGTAGTGACGACGACCATGGTAAGGAGGTGACACGTGATCCTAAACATATACTGGGCAAGACATTCTTCCAGGAAAAGAGAAAATCGTGAATCTCATAGATACTTTCCCCTTTGGACCCAGCATCTGCTGGTTTTCTTCCCTCTCTTCTCTTAGCTGGGAACTGGGAAGCCTAATAATGGCAAAATAAGCTGTAAATAAACACAGAATAATGATTTAACATGATATATAACGTACATGCATGTTGTAATGAAATGAGGCTTTAATTTCCAACTAAAAATTGTCAGTTTAATTGCAATCCACAGTTATTGATGACTTCTAATACCCAAAGCTATATCCAGAAAAATACCAAAGGACAGTGACTGCTCAAGTTGTCTTACATAGTGTGTATGTTTCTTACAGCCTCTCCTACCCTCTACACTTTCCAGCTATTTTGAGGGACGCTATAATCAGTTAAAATGCCATCTTGTATCAGCATGCAAAATTTGTGCTATTATGATTTGGTATAGAAAAAAATCGTAATTGTTTAAACTGCTTAAAAATGGGAGAAAAAAGGAAGCTATTTGGTATAATTTTATTTATACCCACAGTGTTTTCTATCATTAAGTGACTATTGTCATATCAATGGATATAATTGCTTTTCTTTTTTGGTGATGTGTTTGTTTCTATTTGGGGATGGGAAAAAAGCTGCTTCCTGTCTGTGACACCTGGGAAGATACTGTATGGGCCTACTTCCGGGTGATGGTGGACAGTCTGGTAGAGCAGGAGATCCGGCTGTCAGTAATGGCCCAGAATGAAACTGAAGAACTCCCTAGAGAATACCTCGAAGCAAAGTGAGTGTGGTTTGTTTTTAATCACAGTGATTTGCGGTATGCTCCTTGAAGTGGTATTTCACAACCCTTTTTCATATTATTAATATTATTCTGTCCTTTTCCGTTTTGTTCTTTTGAAGTTGGACCTTAGAAAAGGTTTTTGAAGAACTTCAAGCTACTGATAAAGAGGTAAATGTAAATATAAACTTGTTAGTAGATATAGAATAAGGAAATGTTATTCCATTGTGCACTAGCTGATTTGTGGAGCTTTGTTCCCCTTTCCCTTCTTTTCTTTGCCTGTTATCAAAATTAGGGACATTCTTTTTTTTTTTTTTTGTACCGGGAATCGAACTCCGGACCTTGTGCTTGTGAGGCAGGCAGCAGAACCACTGAGCTAAATCCCTGGTGAGACATTCTTTAAAAGAAAGAAAATTGTAGAAATGATGCATTATTCTTTGGTTTAGGATTGGCTTCATACAAATACAGGGATATAAGCTACATTTATTCCCCTTTCTTGAAAATTTAAAATACAGAATGTAGAATTAATAAGATTTTTCCTAGCCCCCCAAGTAATATAATGTTTTTTAAAATTAGTGTTTCTTTTAAGTAATTTAAGCCAGGCTTAGTGACACATGCCTGTAATCCCAGCACTCTGGAAAGCTGAAGCAGGAGGATTGCAAATTCAAGTCCAGCTCAAAATAAAAGAATTGGGGCTATGGCTCAATGCAAAGGCCTTGTGTTTAATCCCCAGTCTGCAAGGGAGTGGGGGTGGGGAGTTACTTTTTTTTGTTTTGTTTTTGAGACAAGGTCTTGCTGTGTTGTTCAGGCTGGCCTGGAACTCACTATGTAGCCCAGGTTAGCCTCAAACTCGTAGCTGTCCTCCTGCCTCAGCCTCCCAAGTGCTAGGATTATAGGTGTGCACTACCACACCTGGCTGATTTTCTCTACTCTTTGCCTAATTTGAATCATTATTTGATGATGTGCAGAAGAAAATACCTAAGAGAATGGTTTCTAGTACTGCTGCTCTTGATGAAAGAAATCTTATATTTTGCTTAATGCATATATGTCTTTTTTAGTCTACCATGTTGTGCCAGAATAAATGGGAATAAAATATAAAGAATAATAGTTACTAACATTCTTAGAGATTAAATTGCTATATAGTAGTTCTCTACTTTCAGAGGTACTGTTGAGTCCTGGATTTGTAAGCCTTGAGTATATTTTGAAGACATTGTCTTTCTGAGGCCTTTCATGTCCTGCTTAATGATGTCCCTTCAAAAGTTTGAGATTTTGAGTTTAACAATGAGTAGATACGCCAGAACGACTACAGAAGACTTACAGAAATGTAAATAAAATTTTTCAGAGAGTTCTGGAAGAGAATCAAGAACATTATCATATAGTTCAAAAATTCCTTATCCTGGGAAACATTGATGGTAAGCTATAGTTTCATTTTACTTTGAGTTCTTCATTTTCTTAGAGTAATTTTCGTAAGTTATCAAAGCGTTGCATAGACTTACTATACTTTTTTTTTTTTTTTTAATGGTGCTGGGGATCGAACTCGGGTCCTTGTGCTTGCACAGCAAGCAGCGAAACCACTGAGCTAAATCCCCAGCCCGACTTACCATACTTTCAAGCTTTATAAATATCCACCTATCTGGATGCAACTTTTTTACTTGTTATTATAAAATAAAATTTGAATTTAACTCTGAGTCTAAGAGGACGTAGAGTTATATAATGACTGTTAACAGTGAGACAGTGACTTAATAGCACTATAAAAATAAGATAAATAGGAGTGATTGAAAGATATAGTACATATTTAAATTTTTAAAAGCTTGCCAGGCATGGTGGCACACACCTGTAATCCCAGCACTCAGGAGGCTGAAGCAGGAGAATCACTGGGTGTTTGAGGCAAATCTGGGCTACATAGTGAGTTCAAGGCTGGCCTGAACTTCAAAAGAAGACCCTGTCTGAATCTCTTCCCCGCAAAAAAACTCATCACAAGAAAAGACACATTGCTAGTAATGATGAGATACCTGTGTTCAAAGTGAGGGAGAGTATTTTGAGGGCGTGAATGGCAATGTGTCTTTTACTGTAATTTTATTTAAACATGCACCATATTTTTTTGATCATGCTACACTGATCAAATGTTTATGGCAATTTATGTCAAATAAAAACATTATGGTGTATCCATAATATCCGCTGTGTTCACTGGATCGGCACTGTGTGACTTCTGGCTCTTTCCCAAAGTCAAAACGACATCAAAGCACCCACAACTAGACACTAGCACTGGAATTCCAGAACTGCTTCAGAAAGTGGCAAGAATGATGGGATAAGTTGAAGTGAGGGGGACTATTTTGAGGGGAATTGTTGACAGTGTCTTTCACTGTATTTGCCATATTTTTTTATCACACTGCATATTCTTGGTAATGTTTATCTGATTTTATTCTTTGCTTTGATGGCATGTAGGTTTGATGGATGAGTTCAGCAGATGGCTTTCTAAAAGCAGAAGCAAACTACCTGGGCATCTCCTCCGCTTCATGACTCACCTCATTTTGTTTTTCCACACCCTGGGAATACAAGCCAAAGTAAATAAAAACAGTGTATCCTTCTGTGCAAAGTTGATGCTATGTACAGATCACTAGGGAAGCACCTTATTTTGTTGTTGTTCTCTAGAAAGTGATAAGTGTGTGAAAGGCTTTGCTATGGTTGCATATGGTCATCTGATGATAACTCACAGAGTGACCATTGGGCTTCTAGTCTTGGCCACAGAACACAAGGTTTCCTGCTTTTTAAGAACTATATATCCAACTTCAAATCAAGTAGCTAAGCTGGCTGAGCCAGACTTAAGTTCTTTGTGAGAGTCTAAACCTTTGTTTTCTTTTTCCTCTTAGTTTCCTTTTTTTTTCTAAGTTTCATAACATTTCTGTCAAGACTACATGTAGAAATGAAGATATAGTAGTTGAAACCTTGAGCTTGGTAAAATGTGAACAGTAATCCTAAGTACCCACAAAGAGTTATGGTAATGTGAAATCAGGCAGTATATGGGCTTTCCTAAGCACGTTGCCTGATGTCTTTATTGTTTAATGGCATATATTAAAATTATTAAATGATTTATTAGCAGAATTTTTATTAGAAATAGTATTAGAAGCTGGGGATTTAGCTCAGTGGTTCCGGCGCCTGCCTTGCAAGTGCAAGGTCCCGAGTTCGATCCCTGGTACCAAAAAAAAGAAATAGTATTAGTGATACATATGAGCAGTTGTGTTTATTATAATTATGTCTTTTCTCCTATGAAGGAAGAAGTTTCAATTGAAGTTTTAAAGACATACATACAGGTAAACTTCGAGAAACTAAAACCTGATTCTTTTTTTTTTACTATTCTAACTAAAAAATCAGAGTGATACCATTTTAACATCCAATGGGAGGAAGCTCATCCACTAGGGATCTTTGAATTACCCTAACTACATTTTAGTAAAGCTTTTTAGTAATTTTGGGTTCAATTCCCAGCACTGCCTGCAAAAAAACAAAACATACTTTTCTAGAACTTACTGTATTATTGACCAACTTTGATCTTTTTTCCATTTTCAGTTTTTAATAAGTGAGGGGAATACACATCTCATAGCATTTTATTGCTGTCATTTGCCTCAAGACCTTGCTGTTGCTCAGTATGCCTTATTTTTGGAAGGTGTCACAGATTTTGAACATCGCCACATTTCCTTGGAACTGGCTAGGGAAGCAGGTAAAAATGGTTGAGATTTCATCTGTGGACCTTTGTAGGCAAATTTACATTTTGACTGTTAGAATATTTGTCCTTCAAGTTTTGAACCTTGCTTCTCTTTACGGGGGGGATAAAAAGGAATAAAATTTTCAGTGAGCCGGAGATTTAGCTCAGTGGTGCCACCGCTTGCCTCTCAAGCACAAGGTCCCTAGTTCAATCTCCAGTACCAAAAACAATTTTCAGTGAAATTCTGTTTTAGGAGTAAAATAACATTGTAATTCATATGTAAGATATTTTTTAAATTTGGCATTTTATTTCATAAAGCTTTGGGATTTTATGTATTAGCTATTTTAAGAATTACTGTTCCAGGGGCTGAGGATATAGCTCAGTGGTAGAATACTTACCTAGCCTGAGCCCCTGGGTTTGATCCCTAGCCATACAAAAAACAAAAAACTTATTTCAAATTTACCAAATTATTGTAACTGTTTAGAGAATATTAGTATTAATGATTGTTCTTGGGTTTTTGTGGTTTTTTTGTCATTTCAAAAAATGTTTTAGATTTGGATGTTGCAACAATAACAAAAACTGTGGTTGAGAATATTCGAAAGAAAGATAATGGTGAATTTAGTCCTCATGACCTGAGCCCAGACCAAGAGAGTGACATTACTCAGGTAATTTCAGGTGGAAGGTAAGGGGGTTGTATAACCTCCATTAATCCTTTATCTTGTTCCTTGGTGAACTTCTACCATAAAATACACTAGCTTCTATCTTTTTATTTCTTTGAAGACTGTTTGTCAGCCCAGGCCTTTTTTTTTTCTTTTGAGACAAGGTCTCACTATGTAGTTCAGGCTGGCCTCGAACTCATGGCCATCCTTCTAGCTCAGCCTCTGGAGTGCTGGGATTACAGGCGTGTGCCACCACACCTGGCCTGCCTGGGCCTTTTAAATTACAAAAATTGGCAGTATATTTAAGGTCTTGTGTGATGGATTACTTATAGTATTAGTATAGTATTACAGGTATGTTAAAGGAAGCTTTTCTGATAACAATCTGAGCATTGGCTTTTGGTTTCAATTAGCAATGATCGTGCCTTGGATAAACTGCATTGGCTATAATACTGGCACTGTGCAAAGCTTAGCATTGGTTTTCTGTTCATCAGATTATTCTAGACACTTTTTAAATCATTAACTCTTCTACTTTCAGAAAGAAAGGGAAATTATATCTAAGAAAGAAAACCGTTTTAGGGCCGGGGATTTAGCTCAGTGGTTCCGGTGCCTGCCTTGCAAGCGCAAGGTCCCAAGTTCAATTCCTGGTACCAAAAAAAAAAGAAAACCATTTTAGAGCACTACTTTAAAACAGTCACATAGTTGGGTTGGGGATGTGGCTCAATGGTAGCACACTTTCCAGTGCCATGTGTAAGGCTCTTGGTTCAAACCCCAGCCCTACCAAGAAACAGAGCCTCACGCAGTTACTTTAGTGGAACACATAGTATATAATTCCAGATTCGTAGTCCAGGGAATTTCTCTATATTTTAATAGAGAGCTGTTATTATAGGAAATTAAACTAAGGAAGGTTAGGTTCTTTTATAATTTTATATAACTTGAGGGGAAATGTTCACCAGAAGTACAGGTATAAGCTCTACTAATTTGTAGAATATTCTAAAAAGAAACAAAATTGATGCTTTTTTCTTTTTTCCCCTTTTGAATGAATAGGAGGACCGTGTGAAAATTGATGTCATAGACTGGTTGTTATTTGACCCGACACAGAGGTCAGAAGCCCTGAAACAAAGCAATGCAATAATGAGAAAATTCCTAGGTGTGCTATATTTTTATGTTCTTTGTTCAGATCTATCTCTTTTTGAATTTTGTTTGTAGTTTTACTGAGTTTTACCAATAGAGAGAACACCAGGTACTCGTATATCAAATATAGTATCGTGAAACAAGGCCTGCTTAACAGTGAGTTGTCATTATCTTAATGATTTTGGTATATAATCTCATGGCTGTCAGACTTTGAAAAATATAACTGCTTTCTTTAAGACATGGAAGTATGTGAAAGTATAACTGCATTTGTGTCCTTTTGTGTTCCTGTCACAATGAGATAAAGAAAGAGCCAGCTTAGAAAGATCACTAAGACCTTTAAGAGCAGTACCTTGGGAGCTGATAGTTACAGCTCACTGTAAAGATTGTAAACTACTGAGAAAACATTGCGTAGAAGTTCATATATATTGAAAATTATGTATTCTTTTTTCATAGCATTAAAAAAGCATGAAGCTGCTAAAGAAGTATTTGTGAAAATTCCTCGGGATTCTATCGCAGAAATCTATAATCTGTGGGAAGAAAGAGGAACCCACAATTCACTTCCTGCAGAAATTGATAATGCTGTCAGAGAACATTTGTGCATTAGAGCTTATTTGGTGAGACTATAAAGAAAACCACAATCTTCGTGGTGATTTTTCTTTCCGTCATAGTTGGAATTTGTTTCCAGATGTGGTAGTTGGTTCTCCTGTCTCCCTTTTGACTGTTGTGAAGACTAATCCGCAGAGGGACAGAAACCATGACCTTGTCTTCATTACCATAGTTCCCTGCTCATGGCCAGTTAAGCAAGTTAGAAAGTGTGAATGCTGACAGTGGAACACTACTCTGCCGTAAAGGAGGAAAACTTGAGTCATTTGTAGGAAAATTGATACACCTTGACACCATACTGTTAAGTAAAGTAAATCAAACACACAACTTAAGTATCCCATTGTTTCTCTTATATGAGAAACCCAGAGTAAAAATAAAAAGCAAAATAAAAGGTAGCTAATAGAAAGTAGGGAGATACAGCTTTCTCAAGAGGGTAGGCGATAGAGAGGTGGAGAAGGGGGAAGGAAGGCAAGAGGTAGGGGATGAAAAAAAAATTGCTGTGTGTTATACATGTACCAGCTCCACGCAAGGAATGTAAACATGTACTGCAAACGTGCCATAAATGAAGGGGATCAAGAGATAGGGAGAAGGAAGGAGGGAAAGGGGATGAAAAAAGGAATTAAGATATGTTATGTGCATCTAGCAACTTCCCTCAAGGAATGAAGACATGTACTACACATGTACTCAAACTAAAATAAAATTAAAAATAAAGTATGGATAATGAATAAACCTTAAGTTTTCTTAAAATTTATGAAAACTTTTCTCAACTTTAGCTTTGCTGCTGTTAGCAATACTGAGAAAGCCAAAGTATTCTAGATTTGTTGAAATTAAAAATAACACCATACTTAAAATATATTCAACAACTAATCAAGTAATTATAAGGTAAGGCTAATAGGGCTAAATTTGTGAATAATATTCTCTTTGATCCCTGAAACCCAGTAGGCAATTGACGAAGATAGATAAACATGTACATTGTATAGAATGATTACTATCAAGATATATATATATATATCACATACACATACTTAGGATGCTGAGGTTGGAGAAGATCCCAGAAAACACAGTATATATACTGTGGATAAACACACAGTGTTTGTCCTTTGATAAGACATTTACATATCCACAATGATTTGTGTGTGTGCAAAAAATATTGAACAGTTTTGTTTCTTGACATTATAAAATTTCTGAGAATCAAATCTTTAAAAGCTTTTGGTGAAAAAAAGACACTCATTTTTTCTTTTTTTTTTTTAAATTTGCATTTTAGGAAGCCCATGAAACCTTTGCTGAGTGGTTTAACCATATGAATGCAGCTCCACAAAAACCTACTTTGATATCTCAGCCAAGTTTTACTGAGCAAGTAGCTTATGAACATAAAGAAAAGAAATATGAAGTAAGTTGAATGTGGGATCTGGAATGAATTTATTGCACCTTATAAATGTGTGTTAGTATTTAAAGAGGTCATTTGTTCAGCAGTTATAGTCTGATTATAACAGGAGGTCTTGTTAACGTTCTGGTTTTCAAAAGAAGCTGTCTGTTTAGTTACTTTTTTGTAGGTAATTTAATCTTGAAAAATACCTTCAGATAACATTAGCATTTACTTAGTTCATATTTCATTATTTTTTTAACTGCTGTCTGTTGGTAATTATTTTTATATTTGACCAACTGAAGTACCAATTTTTTTTTTTAATTGATGTAACCATTTTTGTTTGCTTTGGTTTTTTTTGGTTTTTGGTTTTTGGGTTTTTTTTGGTACCAGGGATCAAACTCAGGTCCTTGTGCTTGCGCAGCAGGTGGCGAAACCACTGAGCTAAATCCCCGGCCCTGGCCCAACTCTTTAAGACTTATATTCTAGGGCCAGGGATTTAGCTCAGTGGTTTCGCCACCTGCTGTGCAAGTGCAAGGACCCGAGTTCGATCTCTGGTACAAAAAAAAAAATTATATTCTAGGGCCTAGGATTTAACTCAGTGGCACCATGCCCGCCTCACAGCACAAGGTCCTGAGTTCGATCCCCGGTACTGGAAAAAAAAAAAAAAGAATTATATTCCATTTGTATATTGTCTGTACTTTAAAAATACATTATGAGGCTGAGGTTGTAGCTCTGTGGTAGAGTACTTGCCTACCGTACTTGAGGCCCTGGGTTTAATCTCCAAGACAGCCAAAAAGGTATTGTGGGGTGGAGGGAGGGATCTAAAAATACATTACCTGTTGATTTTTGTTCACTTTGTCTGCCTTATATTTGTTTTGCAGATGGATTATGATATTTGGAAAGGACATCTGGATGCCCTAACTGCTGATGTCAAGGAGAAAATGTACAATGTCTTGTTGTTTGTTGATGGAGGATGGATGGTAGATGTCAGAGAGGTAAACTGTGCATTGTTCATACCTAAAACAAACCACAAGCACTGTGTGTTTTTCAGTATTCTATCTCTGAATAGGAATATCTATAGATCTTATATAACCTTTGTATTTATAACTAAACATCCTATATTTTATTTATTTATTTATTTATTTTTTGCGGGGGTACCAGGGATTGAACTTGGAACCTTGCGCTTGCAAGGCAGGCAGTGGAACCACTGAGCTAAATCCCTGGCCCCTCATATTTTAAATTAAGCCAAAAACACTAGCTGGGAAACAGATATATTTTACTTTATGATAAACTATTGCTTTACATTTAACATATTTACATGGGATACTAATATCCAGTTTTTACAAATTCTGGACCAGTAGTTTAAATTATACACATATTTGGGCCGAGGATTTAGCTCAGTGGTTTCAATGCCTGCTGCGCAAGCACAAGGACCCGAGTTCGATCCCCGGTACCCAAAAATAAATAAATAAATAAATTATACACATATTTGACTTAATTTAGAGAGGGACAAGTCCAGTAGTAGAAGTAAAATATATGTAAAGCAGTGGCTCTCACCTTTGACCTAGATTGAGAACCAGTTACCAAAGTATTAAACGCCATAAGAAAAGCACAGATTAGCCAGTGTGGTGGCATGCACTGTCATCCCAGCACAGTGGGAGGCTGAAGCATTACACACTGGTTCCTGTAGCTGCACCTCACGTTTTCAGTCACTACAGAGTGTGGTAGGGTGGCTGAGTGGCCTTATTCCAAGGCACTGGAATAAGAAACTGTAGAGCAGTTCTATTAGTGTTGGAGGCCGGTGACACGGTGAGATGGGATGGGCAGTGGGAGTGAAGTGGGCAGCTCATCGATAGTTACCTACCCTTCACTACCTCTACCATCTCCACCTCTACCACAGCTAGTTCAAGCCTCTACGTTTTTGCTTTGCTTCCCTTTTTTTTTTTTCCTTCTTTCCTTCCTTTCTTTCCTTTTTTTCCCTCTTTTTTCTTTGTTTCTTTCAGCTTTCTTCCATTTGTTTTTTGGGGACAGAGTGTCACTATGTAGTTCATGTTGGCCTTGACCTCACTGTATTAGCCCAGGCTGGCATGAACTTGCAGCAGTCCTCCTGCTTCAGCCTCCTGAGTGCTTGGATTATAAATGTGCACCACTACACTCGACTCCCATTCTTCTTTATATGGTTTCTTGCTTATATAGATGAACTCATGATCCTTTTAAAACAAAATATATCATTGTCCTACCCAGAACTTTCTGATGATTTCTCACTACACTTCTAATAAAATCCATAGTTCTCTTCTTGATATATAAGACTATACATACACTTTTTTTGTTTTTATATCTCTCTCCTCCCAGTCTTGTATCCTATTACTGTGTTTTAGCTTTGTGGGCCTCTGCTGTTCTCCTTCTGCATAGAATGTTTTTTCATCAAGATACCTGTATGGACAGCTTCTGACTTCTCTCAGCAGTTCCACCTCCCAAAGGGAGACATTCTTCCCACCCTCCAACACCTTGCCTTTTTCCCCCCATACTCAGGACTAACACGTTCACAACAGGGCTGTAATTCATGTCTCCCTGCTGGGCGGTGGCATGGGCCAATCATACATGGACCACCAGTGGTTCAAGCTGGTGGGAACGTGTTAAACCTTACCTGTGCTAGGTACTGAGCTACCTGGAGCTACATCCTCAGCCCATCTTAAATCGCACATGTGCATATACATCTGTCTCTTTATCTCCTTACATTATTTTCTCTTCGTAGCACTTAGCCCATTCTGGTATGTGTTAATTTATTTGCCTTTTTGTTTCTACTTCCATCATAATGTAACCTTCATGAAGGAACCTGTTTTCTTCAGTTTAAACTTGATGCTTAAATTAATGCCTAGCACATTAAAGAGGTTTTTGGTAGACATTTGAGAAATAAATGATACTACATTACTCGAGTGAATGCATTGTGTTCAGATTAGAGACTCCTGTAATATCAGTACCTGTCAGCTCCTGCTGGCAATACACATCAATTAATGAGTTTGTCTCACATATAAAACACTATATATCCCTGGGGTGGAAACAATCTTTTTGTTTATATACAGAGAGAGTTCACACACACACAAAAAATGTATACACACTTCAGGAAAAGAAAAATTTGTATAACTATTTTAATACTAAATTTATTGAGATATCATGAGATTAACAAGTTACTTTTGGCCTCTAGTTACAAAAGGTGCTCGAGGGCTGGGGATTTAGCTCAGTGGTTCCAGCGCCTGCCTTGCAAGCACAAGGTCTCGAATTCAATCTCCGGCACCAAAAAAAAAAAAAAACCCCACAAGATTGGGCCAGGGATTTCGCTCAGCGGTTCTACTGCCTGCCTCACAAGCAAAAAGTCCTGAGTTTGATCCCCAGTACCAAAAAAAAAGAGAGGTGCTCAAATGGTGTCCATCAGCTTCCAGACATTTATTGGTACAGCAAACTGCTGCTTGGTCACTGAGATTGCTACATGTGCATTTTCCATTTTTTCTCTAAGGGCCCTCAGTGTAGTGAGTTTTCTGTGATATACAACATCCTCTAGGGTCCCCAATGCATTTTTTTGGCGGACTCTGTAGGGAACAGGGAAAGGGGACATTACTAGAACCTCTGCAGTAAGTCCTAGTCTCCTGCAAACCACAGCAGCACAAGGCAAATTACAGGAAAGGTAGAAAAATGAGACTGAGAAGCAGCTGAGCTTTGGGTCTGATCAGTGCTGCTCTGGGCGGCAAAGACGAAAGGCCCCACCTTACCACACTTTTTATTCAGTACTCAGTACATCGGGAGAAACAAATGTAACAAATGACTTGCAGGGAGTTCAGTACAACCGCATAAACAAGATGTAACAATCCAAGAACAAGGAGGAACTGAGTAGATGTTTGTTCTTCCCAGGATGTTTTCAGCTCCCAGGATTTTTCTTGTCCTGGAGAATCACAGCATCACCGGATCATTGAGGTCTCAGTTGTGACCGGAGGCCAAAATGGAGTTAGGTCTCAGAATTCCATAGCTGGGCTGTAGGCAGGAGAACTAAGCTAACCAAATGATTTTTCCCTAAAATTATGTAGCATTGCTCCCAACAGGACTCTGTATTTTCAAAATATTTCAAAGCTATTCATTATTCCAGATGAGAAAAAAAATCTTAGGTTGTTACAGAACAGTTGATTCCTTTTCTTGTGGCAAATCGCAGGGCCTATCTGGTGTGCTTCTGGATAGCAGCCATTCTGCTGGCATAGGAATCCATTATAGTTTTAGTGTATGTGCTGCCAAAGCGAGCACAGGAATCCATTATAGTTAGCAAAAGAGATCAGCCATACGTGGTGGCACAAGCCTGTAATCTCAGCACTTGGGAGACTGAGGCAGCAGAACTGTTGCAAGTTTGAGGCCAGCCTGGGCTATATGGTGAGTTCAAGGCCAGCCTGAACTACATAATTGAGACCTCGTATCAAGCGTGGGAGAGAGAGTGCCTGCAGCACTCCCAGATGTTATGGCAGCGACCACAGGATTTAGGAGGAGCAGCTACCAGAATCCATCCTATAAGAAGATTATTAACAAACCTGCTACTTTCACAAAGTAGCAGTATTATAGGAACCAGAGATACTTTACCTCCTTAACATAGAAGAAAGACTACATTGGAGCACAGATGAAAAGGCCCTGAAACCAAGTTTTGTTATTCTTTTGTTTTTGAGACAAAATCTCACTATGTACTACTCCAGGCTGGTCTTCAACTACCTTGTATCCCTGGCTAGCCTTGAACTCTGGATATTTCTGCTTCAGGCTCCTAGAGTGCTGGAATTACAAGGATGCACCACTATACGCAGCTGTCCCTGTGATTTTTTTTTTTTTTTTTTTAAAGATGCATGTACGTGGGCCGGGGATTTAGCTCAGTGGTTTCGAGTTGTTTCATTGCCTGCTGCGCAAGCGCAAGGACCCGAGTTCAATCCCCTGTACCAAAAAACAAAAACAAAAACAAAACAAGATACATGTACACTTAGAAATACTAGTTGGCCCGGAGGAGGAGTAGTTCAGTGGCAGAGTGCTTGCCTAGCATGCACAAGGCTTTGGGTTCAATTCTCAGTACAGCAAAAACAAAACAACAAAACTAATTGTTTTCTCTGTATTAAGTCATTGTTATCTATCTGTTCTCTCAATTCACTCATTCATTAACTATTCAAGCCTATAGGTTCTTTCAGTTTTTGTTTGTTGAGATAGGGTCTCATGTAGTTCAGGCTGGCCTTGAACTCACAGTGATCCTCCTGCCTCAGCCTTCTGAATGCTAGGATTACAGGTGTGGACCACCACGCCTGGCTTCAGTTTCTGAGTTTTTTGGTTGGTTTTTTTTTTAATTATACAAGAGAAGTTGTAATTTCATTCTTTTAAAATAAAGTAGAAAAAAACAAAAACAACAACACGGTTGCAACACAGTTGTCCTCCCTGTGACCCTTCCTCCGTCCTGACCCATCTTCCAGCCACAATCACTGTTGTCATGTTGGTATAGTTATATCTGTATATATCCAGTGAAATGGTGGTGGTTGCTCTAATGGTATCTAGTCTTTATTCCTTTTATGTATGTTGTTATTCTGGACATTAACCTTATTAGAAATACATACAGCAGCACTTTCCCCTCTGTAGTATACTTTGTTCATCTTAATGCTTTGCTGTAAAATCTTGTTAGGTTTCCCTCCCCTGCCTCATTTTATTTTATTTTACTTTATTTATTTATTTATTTATTTATTTATCTATTTATTTATCTATTTATTTATTTATTTTGTACCAGGGATCGAACTCAGGTCCTTGCACTTGTACACAGGCAACGAAACCACTGAGCTAAACCTCTGGTCGCCTCATTTTATTTTTAATGGGCATGATAAGCAAGCTTTAGAAAAACCCTTTAATTTTTAACTCTTTGGGCTGGATTCAGTCCAGTTATCCCTCAGTATCATGGGACATAGGTTGGTTTCAGGTCCCCATGCATACTAAAGTCACACCACTAAATTCCATTGTGTAAAATGGCACAGGATTTTCATATAACCTACATTCATCCTCCTACATCCTATAAATCATCTCTGAATTACTTATAATACCTAGTACAGTATAAATACTGTGTTAGTAGTTATACTATCTTATTTGGGTAAAAACGACAAGAACAGGAAATTTGTGTATTTTCTATCTGCTTGGTTGGATCTGCAGCTTCTGAACCCACGGACATTCAGGGCCTGCTATACCTGACTTTCTGTTCGTAAGTGTATATAGCTTAAAGTTGTCAAAATACTTGATGTCTCTTGGTAGGATTCTGAAGGAGACCATGAAAGGACACATCAAATGGTTTTATTAAGAAAGCTTTGTCTGCCAAGACTGTGTTTTCTGCTTCACACCATACTGCATACGACGGGTCAGTACCAGGAGTGCCTGCAGTTGGCAGATATGGTGTCCTCCGAGCGCCATAAGCTCTACCTGGTGAGTCCACAGCATCTGCGGTTGTAAGTTCGGTGGTGGGATCCACTGTGCTAATGTTTCAGTTTATGAAGGCGTATTCATATTTTATGCTGACCTTGGATTTTCTGAAACTAATAGTACAGTTTTAGTGTAGGTGCTTTCTCCCCCACAAAATGTGTATGTACGTACAAGCAGAAGGACCAGGATACAGACCGACTGAGAAATAGCCTTGAGTTCCTGACCCACTCTAATCCGTGAGCCTCAGACCATATGAACCTTACAAGGGATTTCTTCTTATACTAAGCTAATCTAATCAGATTGATTAGGTAACAGTAAGTTCATTGTTATCTTTTTCTCATTAATTTTTTTTCTTTTTATATATCAGGTATTTTCTAAGCAAGAACTAAAGAAATTGCTGCAGAAGTTAAGGGAATCCTCTCTCATGCTTCTGGACCAGGGACTTGACCCATTAGGATATGAAATCCAGTCGTAATTCATCCACTGTATTCTCACTAATTCCCAGGATGGAGGATTTTTTTAAATAAAATATAAATATTTGTAATTAATGGGGGTTTTTCTTTTGCATTATTTTGGGAGAGAATGTAAAATTTAGACATTTGAATTTTGTACTTTTCAGAATATTATGATGATACTTTAAAAATATAATGTATTATATCACTATTTCCCTGTGTTTTAAAATAAAATTATATAAAATTAAATTTTTCTGTTCTTATAAGTTCCAGGATTATCTTTCTATTATGTAATAAGAAAATTAAATTTCTTGCCCTAATTAATTTTTGTAATTTTAAGTACTCTGATATCTTAAAATTATAAGCAGTACGTAAAGCAGATTCATTTTCAAGCTCATTATTTCTAATTTATTATAAAACTTAGTAGCTCTTAATATTAAAATTAAAAGAATATAGTAAAATGCACAGCAAAGGAAATCACCAGTAGAGTTCAGAGACAACCTACCGAATAGGAAAAAATTTTTGCTTGGTACTCCTTAGAGGACAAATATCTAGAATATATAAAGACACAAAAAAATTAAGATTTCCCAAATTTAAAGACAATCGAAAACTGGGCATCTGAAATAAATAGGCACTTCTCAGATGAGGAAATACAGTTGGCCAATAAATATATGAAAAAATGTTCCACATCACTGGCCACTTGAGAAATGCAAATTAAAATAATATTAAAGGCTGGGCATGATGGCACATGCCTGTAATCCCAGCACTCAGGAAGCTGAGGCAGGAGGATCACTGTTAGTTCAAGGTCAACCTGGGCTACATAGTGAGTTCAAGGCCAGCCTGAACTACATAGCTGAGACCTTGTCTCAAAAAAATTCCATCTCACCCCAGAAAGAATGGCTGCCATTATGAAGTCAACCATTAACAAATTCTGGCAAGGCTGTAGGTAGAACCCTTCTTCATTGTTGGTGGGAGTGTAATCAGTATGGAGATTCCTTAAAAAGATAAAAATAGAAGTCACATTTGACCCAACTATTCCCCTTTTGAGTATCATATCACAGACACACACAATTGGTTCTACTTCTCTGGAGAGCCCTGATGAAAATAAATAAGATGTTGGGCATGGTGGAGCATGCCTGTAATCCCAGCACTCTGAAGGCTGAAGCAGGAGGAGCACCACACGTTCAAGGCCCAGCCTGGGCTACATAGTGAGACCCTGTCTCAAAAAAAAAAAAGCCAGGGATTTAGCTCAGTGGTTCCACCGCTTGTCCCGTAGGTACAAGGACTGGAGTTCAATCCCCGGTACCAAAAAAAAAAAAAAAGTGAGCTTCATTGTGTTGAAATTATTTCTGAATACATTTTTTTAAAAAACTGTAGGCTGTATAATTCCATTTCTATAAAATTTCAGAAACTGCAAACTAATCTGTGATGACAGAAAGCAGACCAACATTGTCCAGGATAAGGGGCAGATTACAAATGTGTTTATATTTATGTATCTTCTGGACCAGACAATATGGAGCTCATTTATTCAAGACAAGAGTTCAAAAAGTCACAATTTAGATTAGGTCTAACAGACCAAATAATGGAAAACTATGGGATAGTGAAAGGCCAACCAGGATGTCCATTGCCCCTGTCTTCACCATTACGTTTAGTGAGTACGCCGGGGATTTAGCTCAGTGGTTCCACCGCCTGCCTTGAAAGTGCAAGGTCCTCAGTTCGATCCCTGGTACCAAAAAAACAAAAAAAGTTTAGTGGGTAGACATTTTATTGAAATTATACCACCCACAGGATAAAAGGAAAGGCTAATATGACAGTGTAAAGTGTGTTGTTCAAAGAAAGACTAGATACTATTGTTCAGATTGTAACATGTTTTGTATTTAATGTTTTAAGATATACCCAACAATTATTGAATAAATTTGATAAAACTGTCATTTTTGTATTTCCTGTTATAAAAACATGCAATTTTTAGTCATCCTGTATTTAAATAATTGGACTGCTAAGTGGTTTTTTAAAAAAAGAATAGCTAAAATAAAAAAGACAACACCAAAGTTGGCAAGAATGTGGAGTAGACTGATACATTATTGCTGGGAGGAATGTAAAAATATCTTTGGGGAGATTTCTGTATAATTATCCACAAATCTCACCCTAATACTGTACCCAACAGAAATGAAAATTACACAGAAATGTGTACAAAAATGTTCATAGCAGTGCTTACCATATGTGAGGCCCTGAGTTTAATCCCCAGCACCATGTGTGCATTCAGGCATGTGCAGGTATGTGTGCACACGTGCGCACACACAGTTCATAACATCTTTATATATAACAGTCCCACAATGGAAGTGATCTAACTTAAATATCCATCAGTAAGAGAATGTCTCAGCAAACCTAGGGCCTTGTGCATACTAAGCATATGCTCTGCTCCTGAGCTACATCCTCAGCCCCGATATCTTTACCTTGTTTATTTTTGGTACCAAGAATTGAACTCGGGACCTTGCTCTTGTGAGGCAGGTGGCAGAACCACTGAGCTAAATCCCCAGCCCTGATGTCTACCTTTTAACACAAATTTCAGAGCTCATATTTTAACTTGAGGTGCTCCTTGACTAATGATGGGGTTACCAATTGTGGTGTATTCATACAAAAAAAAATACAATCTTCTTTTTTTTTGGTACTGGGAATCAAACTCAGGACCTTGTGCTTGCCAGGCAGGGGCTGTGTTACTCTACAGACTAGCACAAAATGTTGATAATATTCAACCAAAAAATACACTAGATAGTTTTATTTTTTATAGTTTCCTTTTTGAGGTGCTGGGGGCTCCACCCTAGAGCCTCATGCATACTAGCAGGTGGTCTACCTCTGAGGTATATCCTAGCCCTAACATTTTGATCTTTTAATCCAAGTTTCAGAGTTCATGCTTTAACTACACATGCTCCTTGACTTAAAATGAGGTTCTGTCTCAGTAAACCCATCAAAAATTAAATTAATCATTTAGTTGAAAATGCTCCTTGACTGAACACAGTGATGTCTGATAAATCTACTGTAAGTTGTAATGTCCAAAGCTGAGTCACATTTAACCCACCAAGTATCATAGCTTAGCGACACAGTACACTGAAGAGTGTCTGTTGTTCACCCTCTAGATCCGCAGCTTGCTGCCACTGCCCAGCCAGAGGGACATACAGTAATTTTTCTAGCTCCAAACCACATGGAGGATGGCAGTATAGGGGAAAGGCTCATGGCACAGAAAGTGCTGGTGATGTTTGATGACCTGGTAGGAAGAACAGCACACAGTAGAGTATATCAGGAAAACTACGTTAAAACCAGGCTTCAGATGTTGCCCAATTAACTGTTGTAGACTGAATTTTTTTTATTTTTTGGTACCAGGGATCGAATGGACCTTGTGCTTGCAAGGTGGGCGGCAGAACCACTGAGCTAAATCCCTGTCTGCCAATTAACAGTTAATCTCAAATCTTAGCTTAGGAACTGCTTCCTTGGAGAAGACTTTGACCACATCTTCCCCAAGTTTAGGGTAGGCTGTTTCAGTGTACACTCATAAAACCATATTTTGTTACTTTACAACAGACATTTATTATGGTTTATAGTTTTTTAGTACCAGTCTTTTCTCACCTAAATTCTGTAAAAGTAGGCTTGGCTTGGTTTTATTTGCTATTATATATTTTGCCAAGTGCCAAATATAGTGTCAGGCATAAATGAGGTACTCAAGAAATGTTTGAATAATTCTTTTTTCTTTTTTAAAGCAGTGGCAAAGTTTATTCAAGAAAGCAGAAGTGAAGAGTAGGGAGAAACTAGCTCTGCAGAGTGAGCTTGGGCCAAATAAATAGAAAAATAGGGTGAGAGCAAAGATAAAAATACACTTTGTGCCTGGGAAACACAGCATGGGCTATTGTAGAAAGTTACAATAGCCTGCTTGAATAATTCTTAAGAGAAAAACTTAACTATCAATCAGACTACTTAAAAATTACAGTCAAGGAAAATATTCCATTGTATTGAGCACTGTGGCCAAAGTTATTCTAAATTATTCTTTTTTAAATAAAAATAAATGAACTATGAGGCTCTTGAGTTGGATTTCCAGTACCAGAAAATATAATATAATAATGGCCCTGGCACAAATTGATAGAAGTAATCTGTGAAAAGCCCAGTGAAATCCACAAGCTATCTGAAGGGCTAATTAAGAGACAATCCAGTTATATGGTAGTGCACACCTGTGATCCCAGCTTATAGGCTGAGGCAGGAGGATCATGAGTTCACCACCAGCCCAGGCAACTTAGTGAGAATCTGTCTCAAAAGTAAGCAAGTAAAAAAACAAAATAAATGATTAGGAGCCAGGTACGGTGATCCATGCCTACAATCCCAGCACTCTGGGACAAGAAGGATCACAAATTCAAGACCAGCCTAGAAATACAGGCTCAAAAACGGGGCAGGGTGCTGAGAATATAGCTCAGTAGAACACTTTCTATGCATGGGTTCGATGTCAGCACTAGAAAAAAAACAAGCAGTGTTTAGAATACAGTGATATAACAACAGGTGAAATAGTATATAATACTATATACTATTTGAACCAAATATTTAAGTAAAATGGATAATTTTCTAGGAAAATAAAATGCCAGGCATTGATTCAAAATGGAAGTCTCTGAGCTGTTTCCTAACTATGACTGGAGAAGCCATCCTGCTGTGGGCTGGGGATGTAGCTCATGGGCAGAGCCCTTGCCTACCATGCACAAGGCTGCAAAAGCAAACAAAAACAACACTGAAAACCTACTGTGCCCCCAAAGCTTAAAAGTTCTTACACAAAAATAAGAAAAAGCAAGTACCCCTGTTACCATGGGATGGATCCAACAAATAGATTCCAGGCTTTTGTGTACAAGCAGAAACAAAAAAGGGTGGCATGAACAGAAAAGCAGTACTGAGAGAGTGACAGGGAAATAAAAGCACAGCACACCGATCCATCGGGTCTTCAGATTTAAAGACATGCGCCCTAGTCATAGTGTCTCTCCTCCGGTGGGTAAGATTGACAGGGTGCTGAGTCATCTCAAGCGCTTTCAGTGAGCATGCCTGTCCCATGATTCACTCTGATTTAACTGTAGGTATGAGATGTAGTACATATTTATAGACTTTTAATACGGTTCAACTGGGGATAATGAAGGTCAGGCCAGGAGATCTAACTGGCAATTGCTGTAGCCTAGGGCTTCAGGGATTTCTTGGGTCAGTGTAATTTTCTACTTCTCTCAGAACACTGGAAGGAGGATTGAGTGGAGGGGAGTGGTCTCCCAGCCCCCACTGTACTACCTGTACTACCCCTATAGAAAATGGAGAGAAGATAGAAACGGTGATTCACAAATAAGTTATTTAAGCCTGTGAAAAGATATTCAATTCCTTGGAAATGTATAAGTAGTTTCTCCAGATGAATGGATAAGAAAATATGGTAAAGCCGGGCCTGATGGCGCACACCTGTAGTCCCAGCACTCAGGAGGCTGAGGCAGAAGGATTGCTGCAAATTCGTGGCCAGCCTGGGCTACATAGTGAGGTCAAGGCCAGCCTGAACTAATATGGTGATCCTGTCTCAAAACAAACGGCCGGAGATTTAGCTCAGTGGTTCTGCCGCCTGCCTCACAAGCACAAGGACCCAAGTTTGATCCCGGTACCAAAAAAAAAAAAAAAAAAAAAAAAAGGTATTTACGCACAGTGGAGTACTAGTCTGCCATAAATTAGGATAAACTTGAGTCATTTGTAGGAAAATGGATGGACCTTGAGACCACAACGTTAAGTGAAATAAATCAGTCACACAAGTTTAAATATGGCGTGGTTACTTCTATACGTGAAAAACAAAATAAATAAAGAGCAAAATAAAAGATACATAATAGGAAGCAAGGAGATCTTTCTGAAATGGGAAGGGGGTCAAGACATGGAGGGAGGGGGAGGGGAGGTAAAGGTAAGGGAAAGGGATGAAAAAAGAATTAAAATGTTATAAGCATGTACCAACTCTCCACAAGGAATGTAATCATTTTTGTGCAGCAAACATGGACTAAAAAAGAATCTCTCACTATTTCCTCTTATCAAATTATTGAAGATAAATTATTGTTGGTGTTGCAGAATAAGGAAAGTCATTCTCAAGTTGTAGTAGTGTGAATATAAATGTGCACAAACTGGAGACTAATCAGGCAGTGTACATCTAAAGTACCCCCTCACCTCCAAAAATCTGCATTTGGACTGGTATTTGATGGTACTAAAGTGTTATTGCTAAGCCTCTCAGGCGTGTAAATAATACTGTGGTAGAGAAAAAGCACTTTTAGCGTCAGCGAAGTACTTGGGAGTGAAAAATGTGTGATATGTAAGTAAAAATGTGAAGCAAATATGCCACAATACTGATAAACCTACATTATGAGTTCATTATGGCTTACCATGTTCTCTATCCTGGGTTTTTTGTTCCTTTGTTGTAGTGGGGATTGAACCATGAGCCACTACACAAAGATACAACCCAAGCCCTTTTTATAATTCTTTTTATCTTCTTTTGAAACAAGGTCTTGCTTATTTGCCCAGGCTCCCCGTCTCAGCCTCCCGAATGCTGGGATTACAGGCGTGAGCCACCACAGCCTGTGCATATTTGGATTTTTAAAGTAAAATCTTTAACCCTACTCTTTCAATATGTAATCTTTTCCTCGCCATAGGGAAGACTCTGAATCTGCTCAGCATCTGTCAATGCATAAAACTGGTCTACAGCTCTGCACAGCCCACTCGCCCGGTAGCTCTCGGAGTAGAAAACTGCGGGCGCGGCACCACAGCTCAGGGCTACACGGGCCGCGTCCGCACGACCGCACCGCGCCTGCGCAGGGCCGGTCGCTGGGGCGGAAGCGCGAGCGCCGGGTCACGTGGCCGCGCCGGCTCTCAGGGGCGGAGAGGGTGTGTGCGGCTGGGGCTGCGGCTGGTTCTCCCTGTGCTGCTCGCCCTGGCTGCACGGTGAGGCGGGCGTGCGCGAGGGACGGCCGGGCGTGCAGGGGGTCATGGCATCGCTGGCCGAGCGAGTCTGGGGCCACGGGCGTATCGCCGCCGGGCTCCTGTTCAACCTCCTGGTGTCCATCTGCATCGTGTTCCTCAACAAATGGATCTATGTGCACCACGGCTTCCCCAACATGAGCCTGACCCTGGTACACTTTGTGGTCACCTGGCTGGGCTTGTACATCTGCCAGAAGCTGGACATCTTCGCCCCCAAAAGTCTGCCGCCCTCCAAGCTCCTCCTCCTGGCTCTGAGCTTCTGTGGCTTTGTGGTCTTCACCAACCTCTCTCTGCAGAACAACACTATCGGCACCTATCAGCTGGCCAAGGCCATGACCACGCCGGTGATTATAGCCATCCAGACTTTGTGCTACCAGAAGAGCTTCTCCACCAGAATTCAACTCACGCTGGTGAGTAGCTCCAGCTGCAGGAGATACAAGCCTGAACCCTAGACGTCATCCTCCCGGGAAGTTTGAACGCATATTGTCCTAACCTTGCGCCACGGGCTCTTGCGTCATCCCGAATCCACAAATGAGTCACGCGAACTTCAGGCTAATTGGCAGGAGGCCGCAGAAAAATCCTTGCTGGCGCTCTTTTGGGCTTTTAGCTCAGAAGGGAGTGCTCGTGTGGGTTTTAGCAATTACTATTTGATGGGCTTTCTAAATGCTGTGATTGGTAAGAAAGTGGTGTGCAACTCAGTGTATCAGTATCAGCAAAACCTCAAACTGAAAAGCAGCCCTGCTCCCTAGAGAAAGCACGTCACTAATGATAAATTGAAAAGGTCTACCAAAAGTCTCGGAATATGCCTGCCAACATACTGCGGAGGTGTCTGCATCTTTAAATAAAAGAGTCACCAAAATAATTTTAGCACTTAGTAACTTGTCGTATTTAAGATCTTAATGTTTTTGTTACGTGTTTATGATTATTTGTTGTGTAAACACTAGTTTTGAGGTTCATTTACTTACCTGTGCGTGCATGTAGTATTTTCTTGCATAGTGCAGCGACTCATTATTTTACCCCGAATTTAAAATAGAATTAAATGTGAACATCAATATGGAATTATATTTCACATTTAGGAGGTATGATTAATAATGGGCTTCCCAAATGAAAAAAAAATACAGGCTCATTGCTTCCCAGTTATGTGTTTATGATTAGGTTTATAAAACAGTAAAAAAATACGAAGTGCATATTTCTTGAACGTAATCTGAAAAGAATTTACCTTTTTTTCTTTACAGATTCCTATAACTTTAGGTGTAATCCTAAATTCTTATTACGATGTGAAGTTTAATTTCCTTGGAATGGTGTTTGCTGCTCTTGGTGTTTTAGTTACATCTCTTTATCAAGTGGTTGGTAATTTTCTTTTTCTTTATGTGCCTTTTTAGCAGATTTCATAAATTTTGAAGCTGTATCCCAAGGTTTAGAAAATACAGTATAGAGACAATAGACTGTTGGAAAGAGAGCATAATGCATAAATTGTCTGACTCAAGGTGAAGAGAAGAAAGGAAACAGAAACTTGGGTGTATGATGCTCATCAAATACCTACTTTGTTTGTAAGTGTATAGTGCCCGTGCTTAACACACGGAGTTTGGGGTGAAGTTATATTATTTTCTGGGAAACATTTTCAAAATGAATAATGAGACTTTCTACTTTGTAAGCTCATTGGTTATATTCATCATTCACTCTTTGAAGTTGCTTTGAAGAAGTGAATACACTTACAGAAATTTGAACAGGAAAGAAAAATTTCAGATTAATAGATTTTTTTTTTTTTTTGCCTTAAAAAATATCCTGTGGTTACAACTTGTATATTGGATTTTTTTTTTTCTGGTATTGGGGATCGAACTTAGGACCTTGCACTTGTTAGGCAGGCGTGGCACCACTGAGCTAAATCCCCGGCCCTGTGTATTGGTTTTTAATAGTTTATGTCAGTGAAATATTTTATAACAATAATTTTCTGGGTGCGGTGACTTATGTCCATGATCCCAGCACTCAGGGAGCTGAGGCAGGAGAATCACCAAGAGATCAAGGCCACCCTGGGCTATATAGTGAATCCCTGCCTCAAAAAACCAAAAAAAAAAAAGGGGAGTATTTCACTTTTTCAAGCACAACAGTGCCTTGTCTTTTATAGCTGACATTCATCAAAAATTTGTTCATGGATTCACCTTACTTCATTACCATAAAATCCCAACAAAACATGTTTTTTATTTCTTATGCAGTGAGGAATAAATAACTTGGTGTACAGTACAGGGAAACAGTATTCTCTCTAAACTGCAAACCTTGGTCTGGAAATTCTGGATGTGCCTGCATGGGGAATCAAAGCCAAAATGTGTAACCACTTTTACACTGGATTAGTTTACTGTGGTGAGGCTAGACTGTGGGTACATCTGAAAGCATTCTTGTTACAAATGCCAGGAGTTCAGTAAACCAGCCCTAGCACCTTAAACAGTGGCAGTGATCATTTCTGCAGCATTTTTAAGAAAAAAGTAGTTATAGTCACGATTACTTTTTTTTTTGTATTCACAGAGCAATTTAAATAAAAGATGAGCACAATAGTGTAAAGAGATGGAGCCCCCACTCAGTCTGTGCTATTTTGTCTTATTGCAGAGAATGATCTGAGAAGCTCAGTTTTGTGCTTAAAAAAAATTATCTGGATGCACTTAGAGTGAGTTTAAATTTTGCTCTAGGTACAGTAAGTGAACATTCTATTTATCATTTCTGTTAAATGCAGTTTTTGGCCTAAGATGGGTTAAGTGTTTACTAAAAGTAACAATTTTTATTTGTTGAATATTAGTTTCTTGTGTTCCTTATATATAATTTCTATTCACAGTACTTACTGTCTGTGTCAATATGACCATTTTTGTTCACAGAAGTCTTAAAATTACTGTAGATTAGAATCAAAGGATTCTTTATCCTTAAGATACATTTTGTGGGGTTTTTTTGGTACCGGGGACCTTAAGATACATTTTGAAATGAGATTGACCAAGGAATGATTGTAGACTAATAAACTATGGTCAGATTCTATTACCAAAGAACTGTAAAAGTACTCTAACAATAGCTAGATTCCCAAAAAATTCCTCTTAAAGTGGTATATGCCTGTTTTATACCAGTGTAGTTTCTAAGTCATTTCTTCTTAAACTTCTGGAGACACTAAAAGGAATTGAAAGAGGAGTCATCAGCTGTTAGCTTTAGTTGCAAAAAGACAATTGACTTGTATGTTCAGCAGACATCTTTTCTGCCTGATGCTCATCCTTGGGGATACATTCATGAGAAGCAGCTGTAATCCAGCGTTGTAGAAACACTTTTAGACAGCTGCTGGCCTCTGGGTGGGAGAAAAGTCCTGAGGGACCCCAAGGAATAGATCTCAGTTCTCTATCGGGATGTTGTGAGGAGGTAAGACTTGGGGAAAGTTAACACTTTAAGTTGAAGGATGAACAGGAGTTTGCTCAGCCATGGAATGCAGCAGGTCTTTCCTTACACTCTGAAAATACAGAGCATTTGGGAAGAACTGGATTACTTTAGTGAGGCTAGTCTCTAGGTACATTGCAGAGAGATGGAGCTGAGGCGTGGATGAGACTGGCTACCCAGAGTTTTAATGTCATCTGAGGAAGTGTCTTTATTCTGTGGCCACCAGAACAGGAGTTTAGATGGAGTGGCTTGATCATTCCTGTATTGAAAGAGCATAACTGTGGTGCTGCTGAAGGGTCCATAACAGAAAGACGAAAGGTGACCGAGCAGTTAAGAAACCTGTCCATGCTTCAATAGGAATGAAGGCAGAAGGGCCTGGGTTAGGGTAGTGCTGTGGACCTTGGAAGGTGAGAGCCATTTAAGAGGCCTTTTAGAGGAAGAGTCTGTAGCACAGGTAGAATGTGAGAGTGAGGAAAGTGAGGAGTGGGACTCCTGGGGGAGATGAGAGCATGAAGGGTTGGAGTGACACAGGAGAGCTCACTTGTGGAAGAAAGGAGGTTGATTTGAAACAGGTTCCTACAGACTAAGTGAAGATGGCCAGGAAGCTGAGAGGTTAAAGATACTCAGGAAGGGCTGGGAGTGTAGCCCAATGGTAGTATGTATGTCTAGCGCCCATGAGGCTCTGAGTTCCATCTCAAGCATGGCAGAAAACCTCACGGAGAGGAGCTCAGAGCCATAGATGTCAGCAGATAGGAAAAGAGATGACCAGTCAGGGGCCCCTGTGGGTATGGCTATGGGAGGTAATGGTTCCCTTGAGGAAAGCATTAGAGGGGTGTCAGGCAAAAGCCAGGGTGCACAGCAGTTCGGAAAGCAAGGCCCACCATTCCAGGGAATTCTGTGGCAGAGGTGAAGGCTGCGGCTGCCTAGTGAGGCTGGGAGAGAAGGAGGGGCAGACATGCACTCTGCACCCATCCATTGTTGCTGACGTCCTGGCCTCAGGAGTGGGCTGCAGAAGAATCAATTCTTTGTCCTTCGTATCCACAGAGGACTTATTTAAAGCTGGCAGGAGTATGGTTCCGATTTCCTGCTCTTCTGATTGTCTTGGTGAGTTTCTACAGACTCAGAGTTTATGTAACAGGATACCCAGACCTACAGGAAAGGGGGCTATGTAGAAGTTATTCAGAAGTGTGGCTGTTCTTGCAGGCTCTCAAAGCCTCCTTTTCAGTCATTTTTGAGCACTGATGGGATCTGAGGTTTTGAAGTGTCACTTCCACTGAATGATACAGTATTTTAGGATTTGTGACTATCCAGTGTACCTAGGTATATTGATACTGGTTGGGGAATAGTACAGAAAAGCCATTCATAGAGAGGAAAATTTCTTCTGCCATTGATTAAGTTTTTGAAAGTGACTCAAAAGACCACACCAATACAGGCAGCTCCCTGGACAAAACCAAGGTCAATCTGTTAGTTTCTAATCTACCCTATTACCCAGTCTTTCTTTTTTCTTTTTTGACCAATTTTAGAAAGACTGGTTATAGTCTTTTTTATCACCTAACTTTCCATTCCTGCCTTAATTTGTCAGGATCTCTGATGAGTATGGACCCCTATATGCATTTACTTTTCCCTGTTTAATAGGATCAGGTAGGGAGGCTTTTTCCCCCCTTCTGCGGGTGAGAAGAAAATAGATGATCAGAAATTGAATTTATAAGGCTCCTCTTATCCAAAGTATTTAAAAGAGTATTCATATATCTGGCTGATCTTTGAAATCTTAGAGAATAGGCATTTATTCCCCCCTGGACCTTTACCCTACATTTCCATCTGTGTGGCTTTAGTTGCATCTTTGATTAAGCGATGCTTTTCTTTTGTGTCTGACTTGTTTTATCTCCTAATTTTCAGTGGGTAGGTGCCAAACAGCATGAGCTGCAAGTAAACTCCATGCAGTTGCTGTACTACCAGGCTCCAATGTCATCTGCCATGTTGCTGGTCGCTGTGCCCTTCTTTGAGCCAGTGTTTGGAGAGGGAGGAATATTTGGTCCCTGGTCAGTTTCTGCTATGGTAAGTTCTAATTATTTTAGTGCTTAAGAAGCAATGTAATAATAACCCTTACAATATTAATATAATTTTTACTTTTTAGAGCACACTTCTCAGATCTGTTCTCAGATTTAATCTTCTTAATCTCCCTTTATGGAAGACAAACTAAGGATTATTTTTCAGATGAAGAAACAGTCACAGAGAGACAAAGGGACTTGCCCAGGATCTGACGGCTGGGTAGCAGCCAAATGAAGACTGTAGTTCAGATCTTCTGATGCCTGGTTACTGTTCTGACCATGTCAATCTGTAGCCCACAAATAATTGAAACGTTTAATTTTAATTTTTTATAATGAAAATGCAGGTTTATTTGCTGTGTTTTAATATAAACAGTGCATGCTCATTGTATAGATTTTGAAAATACATAAAAATATGAAGAAAGTGGAAGCCCCTTGGAGTCCCTAAGATGCTTTACCATTTTGGTGATAGATCTCTTTTTTTTGGTACCGGGGATTGAACTCAAGATCTTGTACTTGCGAGGCAAGCGGCGGAACCACTGAGCTAAATCCCTGGCCTGATAGATCTCTTTTTTATATATACATAAATGTGCATGCATGTATATGTGTGTAATTTTATGTAATATAGTCCTTTTTTTTTTTTTTAGTACTGGGGATCGAACTCCGGACCTTGTGCTTTCTAGGCAGGTGGCAGAACCACTGAGTTCAATCCCCAGCCCATATAGTTATTTTAAAAAAAAAAATTATTATTAGTACATGTTTGCAGTTCATAAAGATTCCATTTTTTCTCAAAAAAAAAAAATCAACCCTCCAAAAAAAAAAAAGGTTCCATTTATTGTCAGGAATTGGTACATATACATGACATTTCTCAATGCCTTTTTTTCCCCTGTCCCCTCCACCTCCTATTTTCATTAAAAAAATTTTTTTGCCAACATCAGATTCATTTATTTTATGTCCTTATCAAATTAACTATCATAAACAGATCAACAGCCAGACTAATAGTAAAAAAACAGAACACATAAGATAATTATATTAAATCAAAGTATGCTTTTAGAGCCGGGCATGGTCTTGGATGTCTGTAATTTCAGCACTCAGAAGGCTGAGGCAGGAGGATTGCTGTGAGTTTGAGGATACCCTGAGCTACATAGTTCAAGGCCAGCCTGAATTACAAAGTGAGACCGTGTCACAAAAACAAACAAACCAAAAAAAGTGCACCTTGGGGCCAGGGATTTAGCTCAGTGGTTTTGCCACCTGCTGCGCAAGCGCAAGGACCCGAGTTTGATCCCCGGTACCAAAAAAAAAAAAAAAAAAAAAAAGTACACCTTTATATACCTTGGTCATGGTGGACTACAATAACTTTTTTCTCTCTTTTTCCTATTGTCTATCTTTTATTTTGTACTTTATGTATGTATTTGATTCCTTTTATAAGAGAAACCATATGATAATTTAAGCTTGTATTTCTGATTTCTTTCACTTAACATTGTGGTCTCAAAGTATACCCATTTTCCTATAAATGAGTCAAGTTTATCCTTCTTGATGGGAAACTAGTACACCATTGTATACAAATACCACATTTTTTAATCCATTCTTTTTTTTTTGAACTGGGGATCAAACTCAGGACCTTGCGCTTGCCAGGCAGGCATAGCGCTACTGAGCTACATCCCTGGCCCACCATTCATCTGTTGATGAACATATGGGCTGCTCCCAAGATTTAGCTATTATGAATTGCGCTGCTATAACCATGGGTATGGATCTATCACTGTGGTATGATGTCTAACTCTTTTAGGAAGATACCCAGAAGAGGAATAGCTGAGTCAAATGAAATTTCTTTGTTTTTTTGAGGAATCTCTACACTGATTTCCATAGTGGTTATATCAGCTTATATTCCTACCAGCTGTGAAGTTCCTTTTTCCCTTGCAGCCTCTCCAGCACTTATTATTGTTTGATTTCTTGATGATAGCCACTCTTTCTGGAGTGAGATGGAATCTCAGTATTGTTTTAATTTGCATTTCTCGAATGGCCCTCAGTGTTGAACATTTTTTCATGTTTTATTACCATTTGTACTTCTTCATCTGAGAAGTATCTATTCATTTCTGATGCCCATTTTTTGACTCTTTAAATTTGAGAGATCTGATTTTTTTGAGTTCTTTATATATTCTACATATTAGTCCTTTGAGAAGTAGCTCGCAAAAATTTTTTCCCATTTTGTGGATTGTCTTCACTCTGTTGGTGGTTTCTTTTGCTGCGCAGAAGTTTTAAAATTTGATATGATTCTGTTTGTTGATTCTTGGTATTATTTCTTGTACAACTGGGATTCTGTTCAGAAAATCTTTACCTACATCTATGTCTTCAAGAGTTTTACCTATTTTGTCTTCTAGCAGATTGAGTATCTCTATTTTAATATTTAGATGTTTGATCCATTCTGATTTTATTTTAGTGCATAGTGAGAGATATGGATCTAGGTTCAATCTGCATGGGGATAGCTGGTTTTCCCAGCACCATTTGTTAAAGAGGCTGTCTTTCCTAAGGCAAAAGGATTTGCCCCCTTTGTCAAAGATAAGGTAGTTCAAAGATAAGGTAGCTGAATGTGCCTGAAGTTTTTTCTGCATTCTCTATTCTGTTCCATTGAGCCACAGATCTGGAGGGTTTTTTGTTGTTTTTTAAAAATTTTGTTTTGTTTCTTGCCAATACCATGCTGTTTTTAACACTGTAGCTTTATAGTATAACTAGAAGTCTGGGAATGTGATGCCCCTGCCTTGCCCTTGTTGCTATTCTAGGTCTTTTCTTGTTCTGTATGAATTTTAGGATGGCTTCTCTAGTTCTGTGAGGAATTCTATTGGTATTTTTACTGGGACTGTGTTAAATCTGTATAACAGTTTTGGAAGTATGGCCATTTAGACTACAGTAGACCCTTGACTTAGCAACTCAATTTATTCATGAGGACTGTTTGTAACTCAAGTTGGTCCATTGAAGGCTCCACCCTCTCTCTCCTTATACAGGCCGATCTCAGTGTCCTTAGAGAGACATTGACCCAAGGTTTCTCAATTAACCCCACACTGGAAAGGATGTTGTAATGTTCTTCCAGAACTCTTTAAGGGTTAAACCTGTGTCTGAGACCATCTGGAAGCACAAGCGGCTGGCATTCAGATTATAACACAAGACTTTGGTCATAAGTTAAAACTAAAATACTGGTTTTAACCCAAGTCGTTCGTATGTCAGGCCAGTTGTAACTCCAGGATCCACTATGTATTGGTTCTGCCTATCAAGGAACAGGAAATATCTTTCCATTTTCTGATATCCTTTTCAATCTTGTGTGTCAGAGTACAGTTTCAGGTTTTAATTGCAGAGGTCTTTCACTTCCTTGGTTAGATTAATTTCTAAGTATTTAATTTTTCTTGATGCTACTGTAAAAGGTATTGTTTCCCTAATTTTTCTCTCAGTGAGTTTATTATTGGTGTACAGGAATACAGATTTTTGAGCTTTGACTTTGTATTCTGCTATGCTACTGAATTTAGTTATTCTAGGAATCTTTTCATACAGTTTTTTGGCTCTTCTTTGTAGAGGATCATGTCATCAGCAAATAATGATAATTTAACTTGTTGTTTTGGTGTTGATACTCTTATTTCTTTCTCTTGTCTTAACTGCTCTGGCTAATGTTTTGAGAATTATATTGAACAGGAGTGGTGAGAGCAGACATCCTTGTCTTGTTCCTGATTTTATAGGGAAAGCTTTCAACTTCTCTCCATTTAGTATGATGTTGGCTTGTGGTTTGTCATAAACTGCTTTTATCAGATTGAGATAGAAACCTTCTTTTACCTGTTTTCTTCAGGGTTTTTATCATGACTGGATGTTGGATTTTGTCAAATGCTTTTTATGCATCTGATCTTGTGACTTTTGCTTTTGCTTTTCCGTTTATCTGCTCTATTACATTTATTGGGTTTTTGGGTTTTTTTTGGTTCTGGGGATCGAACTCAGGTCCTTGTGCTTGCAGGGCAGGCGGTGGAACCACGGAGCTAAATCCCCAGCCCATTTATTGGTTTTTGTATGTTGAACCATCCCCGGATCCCTGGAATAAGTCCTGCTTAGTCATGATGTGTGATCTTTTTGATTATTTGCTGCATTCTGTTTTCCGTTACCTTATCTAATGAAGATTTCTGCATCTGTTTTCATTAAAGAGATTGGCCTTGGGGCTGGGGATTTAGCTCAGTGGTTCCTGTGCCTGCCTTGCCAAGCGCAAGGTCCCGAGTTCAATCCCTGGTGCCAAAAAAAAAAAAGAGAGAGATTGGCCTGTAGTTCTGTTTTTTGGTTGGGTCCTTTTCTGGTTTGGGAATCAGAGTGATGTTTGCTGCCAGGAATGACTTTGTTCTTTTTTTTTTTGATACCAGATATCGAACTCAGGACCTTGTGCTTTCGAGGCAGGCACAGTGCCACTGAGCTAAATCCCCGGCCCAGCCAGGAATGACTTTGGGAGTACTGCTTCCCTTTCGATTTCATTAGAGTTTGCAGAGTGCTGGTATTAGATCTTTTCTAAAGTTCTTGTAGAACTTGGCAGTGAATCCACTGGGACCTGGGCTTTTCTTAGTTGGTATTTTTATTACTTCTTCAATTTCATTATATTGATACTGGATTATTCGGGATTTTTTTATCTTCTTGGTTCAGCTTTGGTAGTTCATATATATCTAGGAATCTATCCATTTCTTCTGAATTTTCAAATTTTACTAGGGTACAGGTTCTCAAAGTAGTTACCACTGATCTGGATTTGAGCTGAATCCATTGCAGTTTTGCCTTTTTCATTTCTAATTGCATATATTTGGGTCTTTCCTTTTTTTTGGTAAGATTGGCTAAGGGTTTGTCTGTTTTGTTTATTCCTTCAAAGAACCAACTCTTTGATTCACTGATTCTTTGTATTGATTTTTTAGTCTCAATTTCATTAATTTCTGCTCTGACCTGATCTTTATAATTTCCTTCTTTCTACTACCTTTGGATTTAGATTGTTCTTGTTTTTCTAGGACTTTGATGTGCATCATCAGGTAATTTATTTGAGCTTGCTCTTTTTCTGATGTGGAAATTCACTGCTATAAATTGCCCTCTTAGTACTGCTTTTACTGTGTCACATAGGTTCTGGTATGTAGTACTGGCATTATTGTTTGATTGAAGTAACTGTCTAATTTCTTTAATTTCATCTGTGACCTATTGATTATTCAAGAGGGTATTGTGTAATTGCCACATTTGCATAGTTTCTGTGGTTTCTTTTGCCATTGATTTCTTGTTTTATTGCACTATGATCTGATAATATGCTTGAGATAATTTTGATTTTTTGCATTTACTTAAGCATACTGTATAGTCCAGTAAGTGGTCTGTTTTAGAGAAAGCACTGTAGATACTAGTAAGTTTACCTTGCCACAACTTTACCATCTAGAACACAATGAGAATGTCTTTTTTATTGGTGGTATTAATTTACCAAACATTTTTGTAGCCCTTATTCTGTTCCAGGGACTGTTTAAAGCACTTTGTAAATACTAACTTATTTGTTCCTCATAACCTTATTAGATTAATACAGCATTATTCCTATTTTTACTCATGAGGAAAAATGAAAGGCAAAGAGTTGAATATCTAGCCCAGGATCGCACAGGTAATAATTTGAATCCATGCATTCCGACTCCAAAGTCCATATTCCTCTCTTCCCCCCACAGTGCTGGGATCGAACCCAAGGTCTAGTGCATGTTAGGCAACTGCTATACCACTGAGCTACACTTCCAGCATCCCCCCCACCCCCAAACTTTTGTTTTGAGATAGGTCTTCCTGTACTGCCCAGGCTGCTTTCAAATTCTTAGGCTCAAGTAGTCCCCCCTCAGCCTCCCACGCAGCTGGGAGTGTGCTGCCAGAGCACAGAGTCCACATTGGGCACTCAGCTATGCAGCCCCTGAGACAGGTAGGTGTTTCCAGTTCATCTACTTTGGCACATGCTTTTTTCTAAAGTAGCACTCATTGGACCATCTCTCAAATAATATTTCCTCTTACTTTACAGAAATCCTAGCCTCTGCCTGGACACCTGAAATTAGAAGGGCATTGGCCTTTTGTGACAGCTCTCTGACAGGTTTAAACAACAGGAAGTGAGGCATGGTGGCAGATGCCTGTAATCCCAGAGCTCGGGAGGCTGAAGCAGGAGGATTAGGAATTAACGGCCAGCCTGGGCTACATAGCAGTACTGTCAGAGAGAGAAAAAGAGAGATACAGTAGACCTTTAAGTTACAACTGGCCTGACATACAAACAACTAGGGTTAATTAGGTTAATGGAAGATTAATCTGCCTCTTGTTATCTATAGCATGTACCCAGGTAAACATCCAGATTTCAACTGTGTTGACTTACAACCTACTTGAGTTACAACCACCCCTTGGGAACTGATCCAGTTCGTAAGTCAAGGGTCCACTTTTTATAGATAGACAGAGACAGATGGACAGAGAGAGGTATGAGGAGAGGAAAAGGGAAGCAGAAAGGGCGTAAAACACCTCATAGGAGCAGGCAAGCTGAAGCCATGTAGTGTAAGAGAAAGTCACCTTCATTCCTTACTGTCCCTAGGGGGCATCACTGAGTCATGAAAGTAGAGCGAGTAATTGTCTTTTTAATTATATCCTGGGTCATCAAGAAATAGATATGTGGCCGGGGATTTGGCTCAGTGGTTTCGTCGCATGCTGTGCAAGTGCAAGGACCCAAGTTCTATCCCCGGTAACAAAAAAATAAAAATAAAAATAAATTAAAAATTAAAAGATTTACAGAACACCAGCGCCATAAACAATGAGAAATATGTGACATGGTGTGAACTCAATAAAATTAACAATAATATATTTTATGTTTTTTTTAAGTTTTTTAAATCTTTAAGGAGCAAGTGTTTCTGTTTAACAGATACCATTGTTTAAAATCAAATGCAGCATTACTCTACCTAAAAAAGTAGAGTATTCCTCTTGTCCTCTTATGACTATACTAATTGAAAATCTGATAGGGGCTGGGGATTTAGCTCAGTGCCGCCGCGCCTGCCTCACAAGCAGAAGGTCCTGAGTTTGATCCCTTGTACCAAAAAAATCTGATAAAACCTTCCTGGGAGACTGAAATAGCTTCAAATATGTTTTCCTTGGAATTTAAACTTCTTAATACTTTAAATCATAGCTAATATTTTATCTAAATTCTCTTCGGAGATATAAAATGGTTTTATAATTTTTTAAGCAAAATTGTAGGCTAGATTTGAGCAGAACATTCCATGTGTAATGCAGAGCACATCACAGTGGTCCCCCTCTCCTTGGCCAAGTTGGTCTGCTCCCTTGTCCTGATCACTCATCCTGCACTTGCACAACTCCGCATTTTGACCTGCCCTAACCCCTTTAATCTTGATGTGCTTTTGAGAGCCACAGTGGGTTAAGAGCAGGCAAGTTTTCTCCAGAACCAGACTGCCTGGGTTTAAATCTCAGTGCTGCTCCCTGCTAGCCTGGCGCTCTTAAGCCAATTACTTTAGCTTTCTGTGCTTTGCTCTTTCATCTTTACAAAAGGATATTTTTACAGCTACTTCATGGTTTAAGGGGATTAAATGAGTTATCCACATTTGTAATCTTAGTTCTCTGGGAGGCTGACTCAGGAGGATCACAAGTTTGAGCTCAGCCTGGGCAGTTTAGTGTCTCAGATATAAAGATCAGAAAGGTCTGGGGATATAGCTAGAACAATTTATGGCACGTAAGTTATATAAACTTTTATTATGATTTTTTTATTATGTACTCAGGTAATTACTGAGTTCTTTGAGGGTAAGAACTTTGTACATATTTTTTTCCTTTCAAGGCCTGGCCCTAACTTTGTAGCTATCCAGTGGATGTTTATTGATTCCAATAGGACTAAAAGTGAGCAATGAAAAAGACTTGGAAGGCTATATTCCAAAATGGCATGGTGGTTGGGATTATGAGAATTCCTACTCTTTTTTTTGTTTATTTTTGTTTTTGTTTTGTTTTCTGAGGCACGGTCTCCTTTTGTAGTTGAGACTGCCCTTGAATGCAATATATAACCCAGGCTGGCCTCAAAGTTGAGGCGATCCTCCTGCCTCAGCCTCCCGAGTGCTGGTATTACAGGCGTGCGCCAACACCCCTGGCTTTTACTCTTTTTTTTAAACTTATCTTTGTTTTCTGGTTCTTCTGTAATACATTTCTTTTTTTTTTTGCAGTACAGGGATCAAACTCAGGACTTTGTGCTTGTGAGGCAGGCGTATTGCCACTGAGCTAAATCCCCGGCCCCATAATACATTCCTTAATAAATTATTACAGCTGGGTGTGGTGGTTCATGCCTACAGTTCCATCTACTTGAGAGGCTGAGGCAGGAGGATTCATTGAGTCCAGAGGCTAGAAGCCAACCTGGGCAACTTAGCAAGACTTTCAAAAAAATTATTACAAAATATTTCTTACATGAGTAAGAAAAATGAACATAGAAATTCATATTCAAAGACAAGTTTATTATTGCAGAATAGTCCATTGATTCTTGTGCACTTACTTTTTTTTTTTTTTTTGGTACCAGGGATCAGACTTGGGTCCTTGAGCTTGTGCAGCAGGCAGTGAAACCACTGAGCTAAATCCCCGGCCCACACTTACATTTTTAACACTATTCATTCTGTTCTTCTGTATGCAATTCTTGCTGCGTCCCAAATTAATTCTTTTTCTAGTCCCCCCCCCCCCATTACTGGGGATTAAATCCAGGGCCTTCCCACTCAGTTACTTCCCCAGCCTTTTTTTTTTACCTTTTATTTTGGAAAAAGGCTCTTGATAAGTTGCTGCATTGCCCAAGCCAAACTTGAACTTGCAAGTTGCCTCAGCCTGTCAGGATGCACCACCATGCTCAGCTTCTAATCTTGTTTTTAACTGTTGATGTTTGAGTTTTTTGGGGTTTTTTTCCGTACCAGGGATTTAACTCGGGACCCTGTACTTGCAAGGCAGGTGGCAGAACCACTGAGCTAAATCCCCGGCGATGTTTGAGTTTTAAAAATTCTAATGAAATACATTTTCACCGGATCATAATGATTACAGTACATTGTGTTAATCATTCTTTTGTTTTATTTGTAGCTTATGGTGCTGCTGTCTGGTGTAATTGCGTTCATGGTGAACTTATCAATTTATTGGATCATTGGAAACACTTCACCAGTCACGTATCCTTATAATACCCTACAAATGCTTGGTCTTTTATGTTTCCAAAACTATCACATTCACCCCTTCCTTGAGTGTTGCACTAACTGTTGTGTGGCCTAAGTTGAAAAGAGTGGTTAGTTTTAGTCTTTCGCTGTATCTTTCCACACTAGTCTATAGAATTTTAATAAGAACTCAGGAAATGAGTTTCCTTTCTGTAGCATGAATGTTTTTGAGTTTTCTTAAGTAATAGGTGAACTTTTCTGTTACAAAAATTATTCTAGAGTGCCATTTCTTAGTTGCTTTAAATAATCTTTGCTGGGTCGGTAACGGGGTGGTGGCGTGGCTCTTGGTCACTGTCCAGTTACCTAGAACAAAGCAGAAGTGTGCTTAGCTCACGTAACAAAAGATCATTTTAGACCCCTGGCATGTGGTTTTGGAGTGTCTTTGTACTTACAGTACTTGGGTATGAGTTTGCCTTGTTATTTTTTAATAATTCAGATTTAAAACTAAGCCATGTTGGAGGTCAGAGTCACTTGCCCATTTTCACCGTTCTGCTCGTCCGTCTGTTTCTCTGGGTGTTTTACCCCACATAGGCGATTGTGAAAAATGGACCCCCCAAGTCAGAGGCAGTCTGGTACTGTTTTATTAGGGTCCACTGATTTATATAAAGAAATGACTACTGAGATCCAACAAAATAAATAACTAGCACATTGACCAACTATGACTAAATAACGATGAAAAAATTTAAACTGTTAAATACATTTATTTTATGCCAGATACTATTAGAAAAATTTTGTGTAGATTGGTCCATTTAGTTCTCGCAGTGGCTCTGTGAAGTAGTCCATCATTTTATTTTTCACATAGGAAAAAGAGGTTAAATAATTAAAGCTACACAACTGAGGAGCATGATGTCCTGAATGGAATACATGCAGTGCAGTGCCAGCACTTGTGTGTGCTTCATGCTGCTATATCGAGGCATCCAAGAATGAGCCCTGATTGAAAACATCCATTCACTAGACAAATATTTATTGAGTACCCACTATCAGCCACTATTCATTTACATTCTGAGCATCTGTATACCACCCACTGGAAGTACAGTCATGAACCAAATAGAGATGATAACCTTCACCTTCACAGACTTAAACTCTGATTAAGAATACAAACTTTACACAAAAGATATACACATACAGTGTTTGGTAGTATTAAGTGCGCAGGAGAAGGAATAGAGCAGGAAAGCAGGTACAAATGTTGGGGGCAGGTCTGATGGTTTGGGTAGGGTACTCAGAAAGCCTCACTGGGAAGGTGAGTTTTTAGTGAGGACTGAAGGGAATAAGGTTGCTCCGTGCAGATTGGGAAGGAGGAACATTCTAGGGAGAGACAGCAGCAGCTGAAGGGCCTCGAGGAACAAGGAAGCCTGTGTGCTTGGAACAAGATGAACAAAGCGGGAGAGGTAGGAGAGATCCAGACTGAATGGAGTTTTCACATAACCACTGTTACTCTAAGTGAGATGGGAAGCCATTGCAGTTTTATTTTGTTTTGAGACAGGGTGTTACTATGTAGTACAGGCTGGCCTTGAACTCTGAATCCTCCTGCCTCAGCCTCCCAAATGCTGGGATTATAGATGCTCGCCACCACACCTGGCTTCTCCCTTTTTTTTGTAAATAGGGTTGCTGAAGAGTCTTTAAACTTGCTTTCCCTTTAGTATAAATGTCTTTAACATTATGAACTGCTTTAAAAAGGTAAGGAGTACAGAAGTTTAAAGTAAAAAATAGTGCATAATTAAGAATAAAGCTTATTTTATTGATTACATGAAACATCCTTTGGAAAGTGCTCTGCAACTCAGGAAATCACCTCCATTGGATCCAGCGAGCACAGGTACCCCGTGACCCAGGCCACGAGCTCCTGGGCACTAACACTGCCAGCAGGGGTTGCAGGCAGTTTGCTTGGTCTCAAAGCAAAGGCAAGAGCCTGAACTTGGAGGTCATACAGGCTGGGTCTGATGCTCAGCTTGCTCACTTCCTGCAAGCCTGAACAGGTTGTGGGAGCTCTCAAGGTGTCACTGATCGCACATGAAGAGGGAAAGAAGGGGCAGTGGTTGGTTTGGTGGTAGAGCACTTGCTAGCATGTGTGAGGCCTTGGGTTCAGTCCCCAGTACTGCAAAAAAAAAAGCAAAAGGAGTCAAGTACCTTGTAGATGTTATTACACATAAGTATTGCTATTGATAACTATATTTAAAAATTCTGTTTAAAATATGGCAGAATAATAATTTTAAAGACAAATGTGTTGTGGTTTGCTTTGTATATGAACAATGATGTGGGAGAACCTTAATCCAGAAGTGAGTCATTGGCCATATAGTAGGTTAGAATAGTGACTTTGGAGTTAAATACTCTGAACTCTCCCACTAAAATCCTCTGTGACTGGCGGCAAGTTAAAGTCCCTGAGCCTCCACAAGCGTGAGATGGGAAGAGTGAGTGTGCAGTGGAGTGAGTGTGATGCCTCTGGAGATGGTGTCAGCGGTGTCATGTAAAGGGCTAGCGTGCTGGGATGGTGCTCAGTATCCCTCCCTCCCTGTCTCGCCCTCTTCCTTCCTAACCCTAAGCTTACCGGAGTGTTCATGTGGAGGCAGCCCTCTGGCACCACGCACCTTACCTTGTGTGCCGAGGACAATTAATTAGAAATGCCACTATACAACAAAACATAAACTCCTGCACAGAACGTCTCTGAGTCTTGTTTTGAATTTCTTTCCTAACCTTGTATTGTAATCTCCTTCCTCTTTGGAGAGGTCAACAGGAACTACTGAGGCAGTCTCTTGTCACCTTTTTGTGTGGTTTTTGATACTGAGGATTGAACCTAGCACTGAACTATATGCCCGCCACTTTTTAAATAATTTTGATAGAGGGTCTCACTAAATCACTAAGTTGCTCAGGCTAGCCTTCAAACTTACATGCACACGTGTATGGGGTGTGTGCGGTGTGTGTGTACCTCACATCTAGCTTGTTGCTCATTTGTACCCTTATCTGAAAACCCAGCTATAACATGTTTGGACACTTCAAGTTCTGCATTACTTTATGTGGAGGATACATTTTATTTAAGGATCCACTGTCAATTAATCAAGGTCTTGGCATTTTATGTACATTATTTGGCATTCTCGCCTATACTCACTTCAAGCTCAGTGAACAGGAAGGAAATAAGAGCAAACTTGTGCAACGTCCTTGAGTTTTTGTGGAGAAGAGAAAGTTGCCCCAAGACAAAAAAGTGTTAAGTTACTTTCAAAAATGAAAAAAATTGTAGTGCAAAATTTACTGAATGGTTTATAAGAAGTAATATAAATATTATTCACAGATGTGACTTTTTTAATGGTAACAAAGTTTATTTGAAAAAGTAAAAGTGAAGAGTGAAGGAGAAACTGGCTCTACAAAATTTGATCTTGGGCCGAATGAAAGAGGAAAAAGCAAGATAAAAGAACACCCTGGAGCTGGATGTGGTGATGCACGTCTGTAATCCCAGCACTCGGGAGGCAGAAGCAGGAAGATTGCCATGAATTCAAGACTAGCCTGAACTACATAGCAAGACCCTGTCTCAACCCCTGCCTCAGAAGAGAGGGAACACCATGGAGGAAGCAGGGTAGGCTATCTTGAGGAAAGCCACAATAGCGAGCTTTATCAGGGAGCTCCTTCTAAAAGGGGCTCGCCAAATAAATGTTACTGGTTTTGGCTTGCTCGCCACTCCTTCTGGAATGAGATTCATGTTCCCTTCATCGCAAAGAATTGAATGAAATGAGCAAAAAGCAGTGACAAAGTTGATTTGAAAAGGTAAAAGTGAAAAGTGAAAGAGAAAATGGCTCTGCAAAGTGAGGGTGGGCCTAGTAAAAGCAGAAAAAGCAAAATAAAAGTATACCCTGGAGGACACAGAGCAGGCCTTTCCTTTTCGTGAGGAAAGCCACAATAGCCACAAATCTGACTTTTTTAGTACCTTTTTCAAAAATTAAATTTCAAAAACTTAAGCTGGGCATGGTGGTGCACAGCTATAATCCCAGCATGTGGGACACTGAAGCAGGGGAGTTGCAAGTTCAAGGCCAGCCTGGAATCTGTCTCCAAAAAAAAAAATCTCAAAAACCAAAATGGTTTGTGCTGCTTTTCAAAGATGATTATAGGACAGCCCACTTATACCAAGTGAAATACATGAAAAGTAAAGTTCTGTAATAATAAAGGATTCTGTATTCCAGTACTACAGAAGTATGTTTTTTTAGTATTCATATTCTTCTTAGGGCATGTAAGATCCCTCTACTTCCTAGTAGACAGTTTTCCATTGTGAGATGTATTATAATTTTGGTCATAGTGTTAAGGGGTGGTGGGGCTCAAACCCAGAGCCTTGCACACTCAAGTTAAATACTCTGCTGCTGAGTTATATCCATACCCCTAAGTCACATTTGAAAAAGGAATAATTTTTTGAGATACGAAGGAAATACATGATTTCTGATTAACAAATACTATATAGTGCCACATATGTAATTGTAAAATGTATTTCTACCTTCCAATATCTTGACATTTAAATCTTTTTTTGGGGGGGGGGGTACTGGGGATCGAACTCAGGATCTTGTGCTTCTGAGGCAGGAGCCGGAACCACTGAGCTAAATCCCTGGCCCATAAATCTTGAAGTTATTAACTTCACAGCAAATTTAAATTGAGACAAATCATTCCTTTGATAATAAATAATTCTTTTTCCAAACATAAACTTTCTGTGAAAAAGGAACATAAGAAAACCGCTATATGGGCCAGGGATTTAGCTCAGTGTTGGCCTCCCAAGCGCAAGGACCCGAGTTCGATCTCCGGTACCAGAAAAAAGAAAACAGCTACATGTACAAAATATACCTTCAAAAAGATGATAAATTTTGGTATGTCTTATTGCAATAACAAACACTCATATATATCTTTTAGATATTTTTGAATTCTTTCCTGGCTCATTTAAAGTAAAAAGCTTCACTGAAAATCAGCTTTGAAGAATTCAGCTTGTAAGTCAATCTGCTGTATGATTAGCATGTATGGTTGTCTGTTTTTGTTTTAAGTATTCTTTGGTTCTCAGTTTACAAAGATATCTTTTACTGTGCTAAGAAGGACAGAGTATCTCATCTCTGATACATGAGCCTCAAGTATTTTCTGTGTCTAAGAAACTTTCTCTGGGTATGTTTAAGTTAACCTAGTTATTTCCCAGAAGCTGGAGGAAAGTATTCACAATGAGTATTATTTGATTTAAGTACAGTGAGCACTAAGAACTGAGTTGATTTGTTCCATGTACAAATTCTTAATTGTAAATAAAACTTGGGGGCAGTGTGGGGACTTATAATAAATGAGTGATGTCAGTAGGAATGCCATAAGAAAGTTAGAGCAAGTTGGGTAAGGGTGTGTGTATATAAATGAATAAAATATGCTAAAATCTTGAGTGTGGTGTTTTTGCCCTGAAGACAATCATTACATTGAAAAGAAATTCCTGGGGGAAAATGCGCCACATGACTGGGACCAAGCACAGAGACAAGCTAGATGCCGTGCTTTGGAAGAAAACATGCTGTCCTTTTGTTACCATATAACTGGACTTATTTTTTCATCCTATGTTAAATGACTTAAGTTTTATCTGTTAACAATAAAAAGGCCCTTTTTAAAAAAACCTTTGGTCTTGCATATTTGAGCCAGTGGAAGAAAGCATGTACATGCATGCATCCTGCTCCTGGATATACAGGCTATAATGAAACAATTCTATCTCCCTTTAAAAATGACATGAATGGGGTCAGGGATTTAGGTCAGTGGTTCCGCCACCTGCCTCACCAGTGCAAGGTCCTGAGTTCGATCCCCGGTACACCCCCCAAAAAAATTACATAAATGAGAAAACCTGTGAAATAAAGCAAGCTCTCATATTTAATTTTAAAAAATATTTTTAAAACTTGGCTACTTTTAAGTCATTATTGCCTTAAAATTTATTTCAGAGCAACAGGATTAATCAAGTATTCCACATTCATTCTATCAGTAATAGCTGTTGGATGAGTGAATATGCAGGAAATTATAATTTTCCACTTGTATTAAGAGTAGATGAATCAGATTGACCCTTACAATATCTTTTTCTTGTTCATGTGCATTTCTTTACTTGGATTCTATTTTTAGAAAGTATACATAAAACATTAAATGTGATTTTGTTTCATATTTGTTAGAAAACATTTCCTTAAATTTTCACAATTGTTTTATGAAGTTATTAGGAGGTGAGCTGTTGCAAATGCAGTGAATTTGTGGAATATTTTTACTGTTTTTTTTTGCGGGGGGGTATTGGGGATCGAACTCGGGACCTTGTGCTTGCAAGGCAGGTGATGGAACCACTGAGCTAAATCCCCAGCCCCTATTTTCACTGTTTTTAATGTAGAAAACAGCACAGCACCTGAGTCATAGTAATTTACATTTTTCTAGTTGAGTAAAACTATCTCACAAGTACTATGTATGCCACACAAACAAATGTGGATATTTAACCAGCTATGACTATGGATTTCTTTCTTTCTTTCTTTTTTTTTTTTTGGTACCGGGGATCAAACTCAGGACCTTGCTCTTGCAAGACAGGTGGCAGCACCACTGAGCAAAATCTCTGGCCCATGACTATGGATTTCTAAGTGTTTAATTTTTTAAGTCACTCGTAAAAGATTGGTTTTTTTTTTTTTTTTTTTT